CATTGCCATCCCACCTCCGTCTTTCCCGGCAGTATGGTGGAGCAGAAGTGTAGACACCGTGAGGTTGCGAGCGCGTGGAACGCTGGTCAAGCTCGCCGCAGCCAGGAAACTCTGCGTTGATCACAACCTTGCATTGCAGCCTAGGACCCATCAACGCCGTTGGCAAAGTCACCTTGGTAAATAGACATGTTAAGTGTAAAGTAGTGGCTGCCCTTTCCATAGTGTTGAGTACCTGAATCTTTAAACGAGAAGCACTTCTGAAATTGGTGTTCCCAATCACTCTAGTATTTCATTAGTCTCATGGCCGTTTGCAATGCCAGCTCGATCTATATTTTTTTCTTATCATCTATGCCGTTCAAGTCTTCAAGAAGTCCTTGATGAACGGGTTGTCTAAAAATCTTTTAGCTGGCAGTAGAGCAAGAAATTGGTGGAGATTATTGGATGCCGGGACCCAGTTACCGGTACCATTTCCATCTCGCGAAGCCCTCACAACATGGCGGCTAGAATGGAAATTAGCAAGCATAATGAGTCTTAGCAAGAAAGGTTAGTAAGTAGACTGTCTTTATTCCCCTAATATGGATGATACTTAACAGCTGCTGCTGCTCAAGGTACCTGAGCAACAATTCCACGCTTCTATTAAGAGCTATGTAGGGAATACTAATCAAAACAGCGATATGTCTGACAGTGCTTTATCACCTGGCCAGACCAACGGGATTCAGCCAAAACTTGTTTTCAACCAAGGGTCGTCGTTTCAGCTTGGTGCTCCTGACCAGATGCGGCCCACAACAAACACTGAAGCAGAGATTGGAATGAAGGTACTCGACTTTCAAAACACTGGTTTCGAGCTTGAGCAACGTGTATCTCCTGTATCACGCATGGAATTCTATTCTGATTCGGCATCTCCAGAAGTGCTTCTAAAAATCTTAACCCCCAGGAAACGCTTCACGATGGCTCCACGGACATGCACCCCCTAAGTTCCTATTCAATGGACAACAGCGTAGTTTCCTCATCTGACAATGCTGATATTGAGGTAAGTTTCTTTACTTTTGTTCGTTATGCCTTCACTAACCTTATAAAAGCTTAGCAGTTTGGATCTTGGCTTTAACTCGTCTTCCAGCTTGGACTTGATAGGTTCCCGGGTCATAGCCAGTTCTTTGGTACTGAAGGTGGTCATATCCATGGCTACTTTCAGTGATATTTGTTTTACTAGAGCAAAAGAAGTACAACCACATATCCAGACGTTATAGTGCTTGCAATCATTTTGCTCAACGCTTTCGTATTTGTCTTTAACCATAGTGCCGCTGGTAATCAACTCAATGTTGTCTTGTTCAATCTGACTAATTTGAATGTTAGAGCGCCTAGGATTCTGCGCTACAGCTTCTGTCGGAATGGTTTTAGCTCTCAATAATGCTGAATCCGTATTCGGAGGAGGGGTTCACTTTGTTTAGGAGTTATCTAGAGATATTATAGGTCTAGAACTCATATCTGCTAATCTAATAGGAATTAGAGACGCGTAGACAACAACCGAGTGCTAGGGGGAGACTGAAAGTGTTGCAGTCGCAACATACGAGATAAAGCGCCTCTATAAACCTAGAAGTACATCGTTCATATAGAAGGATCATTGTCTACATATGCTAGCGGGCGGATGCAAATAGTGATCGTGAGAAAAATGGTAAACTTCTGGGGACAGATGGCTCCTGTTTACAGGAGTAAAGTGGGGTGGCGCGGACACCTTCATGTTCCGCGTTGCGTCTGCTATCTGCTAAGCTTGCTAAGTGGGCATAGCTACAAAAGTTGCGGCTGGAATCGAGTAAGATTGATTGATTGATTGATTGAATGAGTGAATGAATACCAAAGCTTGCTTGTGCGCCACCCTACAAACTGATATCTTTTGGTCAATTGACCTTGCACCTCGCACTTGCACTCCCACAATCGCTTGCTTTTCCATAATCACAACAATTGCCATTTGGAGCACACTCAAAAATATGAGTCGAAACTCGCTTCGTAGTAACAACATAGGCGTTGTTGTCGGACCAAACACAATTACCGCAGACAGTAAGTTGCTTCCCACGACTGTTGCATTTGCACCCGTTGTATGAACATGCTCTTTTGCCTAAAGGAAAAGGCTCGGTAGCCAGCTCAACGGATAGAGGCTCAGCGATTGGCTCGACAGATAGAGATTCGGTATCCCGTTTCACAGCTACGGGCTCGGCTGCTACCGCTAGAACAAGAAGAGCAAATGAGATGGAGAATTGCATGATGGGTAGTAAGATTCTAACACAATATTAGTTGATCGGTCTTGCAGAAGTGCCATTGAGGGGAGTATGTATACTCTCTTTTGGGGAAAAAGGATAAACTTTCAGATTCAGGATGGTGGACAACGCTGAAGAAAGGATCTGTCTTTCTTCTCTAAAGCCTGGTTGTCATGCCTTATTTATCTCAATTGTTACTGTTTCCTTAGTCTACAAGGCTCATATAGTGTATTAGCAGGCCATTGGACAATATATGGGAGGGGCTAATATCTACCTGCCATTTTCGTTAGCTTCCTTTACCGGGACCCACTCACTATCACAACGAGAATATTGCTGCATTACTAGATGCCTTGATATATTAATTTGTTTTCGCTTTGCTCGCATTGCTCGCATTGCTCGCATTCCCCGCTCTATGGTGTAACTTCGTTGCAGTTTTAGCTACATGTTACAATCGGTCCCAGAGAGGGTTTCGGGCGAGGAAGAAACGCGATTTGATTGGCTCTAAGAAGCTCAACGCTGATTGGCATGCTAAGTGAGATGTTAGAAATCTCTATTTTCGAATAGTGCCAATCACGTAACGAACACCAAAATCTCAGCTATATAACGAGCCAAAAACAAGCTCATAGATTAGCTTATAGATTAGCTTAGAAACGAGCTAGAATATGAGCCAGAATATAAGCCAGAATATAAGTCAGAATATAAGCTAGAATATAAGCCAGGATATAAGCTCAAGCTGCACCCCCTTCAGCACCGCCAGCCGGGCTGTCAAACTACTGATTTTATAAGAGTACAATCATTGCAGATGGGCCCAATCGTAGCGAGATATCCTCAGAACGCTGCCATTGGCTGATACGCAGCCTAGGAAGTGTAAAGCGCTTTATTTTAGGTCAAACATCGTCATCCGTAATTATTCGGGTAAGACGGTGCAGGTAGTACGGCTGGTCATATTCGTCCCCAAAATGAGGTTTTGTCGCGAACGTTAGACTAAGAAAGTAGGTACGTAGTTACGCTAGTGGAAACTGACATGTTTCATAGTAGGCGAGCTGGCGAGCCCGCCACTGCCGGCAAGAAAATGCGACCCATCCGCCTTCCACCGCGATGCATGAACACGCTGGATCTAGATTTATCTTCTTGTAAAGCTAGACCTATCCTTGCTATCAATGAACTAAAAATCATGCGACATTGAGTGAGCGACACGCTGCAACATCGTATAGAGTTCCTCGAAGCACTGTTCAAACTAGATGCGCTAGAACTACTTCGTGGCGCGACTGAAGAATCAGCCATTGTGCGGCACATACTTGATCTAGATTTAAGAGGGGTTCCGCCCCTAAACGCCACATTTCCATACTAGGACGGTAGGTGGGGTTCCTGAAGCTGAAGAGACGCAGCTTTACGAACCTATAACAAGTGGGGTTGGCCACGATACCTGTCAGTGGTGGGTAAGATGTGATCGGGTGCATTAGCCTACAGCAATAATTTGATGGCGCTTTGCAGCTGCAGAACAATGGAGGGACTAGGCGCAAACTATCTCTGAAGGTTGGTTGTGTTGCTTTCTTCTATTGGTATGAGATTGGTGTGAGGGAGAGGTTGGTGGACGTTGTGCTATGCATTTGGCTTTCACCTGCAGCCTAAAGTCGCGGAGCTGAAAACATATTCCTGCATCTCCGCATCGTTTTCAGTCGTCTCTGAACTTGGGACCTGATGATACATGTTATGGGCAACAGGCTGTTCTAGGCCTTCTATGGTTGTGAACAAGGTAGAAGCTGGGCGCTCTGGTTGACTCAGTAACAGCCTCGAAAACACAAAGGCCGATGATGCAGTTGCGGCCCGTGATGCGCTAACTGCGAACCACAACAGTACCCAGCTCGAAACAGTCGCCGCTTTCGCGCCGTTTTTGGTTGTGCCTTGGTCTGGCTTCCGTACTTAGATCCTCTTCTAGCTCCAAAAGTGGTGCAGTTGTGCCCCCTGTTCCTCGCTACTGCGTTGGGATCCGATCCGACCCGACCCGCTAGCTACCGTGTCCGTGCCCGCCAACATAAAAGTGCCCAACATACTGGATTGCACTTAAACATTTAAGCGATGCATTCCTACGTAAAAGACCTACTCATTGCCAAAGCCTTGTGCAATGGTCCTTGGTAAATGAACTTGTTTATGAACTTGCATTAACCATCTTGGAGGATAGGGAGTACGGCCAATAGAGTTTATCCCAGGTGATTAGATTGATGGACCCCTATCTAGGAGCTCAGTAGCAGTATTTATCTAATATCTACGAGGATAATTTAATCCTGCCCGTAGCTTCTTGCCCGAACTCGTGCTAGAACGGAGCTCATTCCTGGAGCTCTAGTCATGTGACGCTCGACCCATGCCTTGTACCTTCACCCAAACCCTAAGCTTCAAGAACTAGGGAACCCCATCTGCGGCAACTATAAAATGACTTAGTATTCTTGAATGAAAAAGATGTATCTTGAGCCAACTCACGTCCAGTTACTCGATCTCCTCTCCGTCTGGGATTATCGAGGTTATAGCTCCGATGTTGGTAATTTTGTTCCATGCGAAACCATAACGATTGAACGCATCTTCGCTCTTAATCCATCTCTTTTTGCCCTGGTCGATCAAATAGACGGGATCATCAAACCCTTTGGCCAATGGAGTCGGGAAATCCAGTACGGGGCCCTTGGGGAAATTGTCAACCAGTGCTTGTTGCACGGTTGAGAATTTCCATTCCCCGTCACCAAATAGAGCTTTGTAGATATCAGGGGTGGCAATGTGTCGCAACTTTCCGTTGAGTACAAGGTAAACAGGGTCTTGTTCATCACCCTTAATGCGCTGTCCTTCGAACTTCTTGGCCATTGTTGATGTTGTAGAGAGTTGGAGTGTTCAAATGATGATAGTTATGATAGGCAGAGGATAGTGAGAAGATAATGGAATGCAGGTTGAGATGTCTGTGGATTCATTGAGCTGACGGGAAGATACTTATACTTTAACAGAAACCACCAAAAGTGGTCTAAGCCAAGCGGGATCATGATGAGCCGAGCCCTCCAGCAAGGCAAATGCATAGTGCACATTGTAGTCTACTGTAAGTTATCACGTTCTGTATGCAAGTAAAGGACCACTTAAGTAATGTGGCTGGCTGAAAACATTGTTCTGTTCGTACAAAGTAGTCGAGGCGGGCTGAAAACATGTCGTTCGTTCCGTACGCTACGGCTGAGGCTGGCTTAAGTAGTGGCTTAGCACATAAACGAAGGCTTGCATATGACAGCCAATTCCAGCCGTCTAGCGTAGGGTTACCGCGCCGTGCTTGTTATGCTGCAGTACCTACCACTAATATACTTGGATAAACATACATAGGCCATCTAGACCTCATAGCCACCTCATCTGTAATCATAGTAGCTTCGCCCAAGCTGAATGACTGTACGTGTCACTCCGTAGCTCGCGAACAATGCGCGGGACCCGGCACACGCGCAACGCTGGTGGGCCTCGACCGCGTAGGGTACGTCGTCATCCCCACCTTACCAACTCTGCGCACAATGTAGCACTAACAGACCAATCGGCCATTCAACTATTAGTTTCTATCCCCAGGCCGCAAGTCACCACTAAGACAGCATCAGAAAGACTAAAATATCCAGTCCTAAGGTCAAATCTCAAAGGTTAATTAGTCTTATACACGTGGTAAATGAACCTTAGATATTAGTTATCTAGGGTCGAGCTCATCTCTTACAGTCTGGGCATAGTTGGCAGGTGTAGCACGGTGACCTAAATACGACCCTGTATGGGCTTCGATGTTACTGCTTGCTTCATGTTTGTTAGGTGTCAACTTACAGGTGGGTACTTGAGTCATGACTATGGAGACAAGTGCTGGAAAATGCTATTGTATGTTACAAGCCATACAGTAGATCTTTCTTGCAGTGTATCTAATCACAGCTCTCTGAACATGAGGCCGGCGCTAGTCTTGTGGTGGCTGAGTTACTGCCCGCGGACGCAAGATTGCATCATTGCTTCCGAAGGAAGCATTCTAGCCCAAACAGTAACATCTAGGAAGTTAGAATCGCACCCTCAAATTAGCTAAATAAAACCTGCTCTTGTCAGTTAAGACGTTCGAAGCACTCCTACGTAAGCAGTATTTGGATCATACAAGAATTGAAATCTAAACATGTTCCTTAGGGAACAAAGACGCCCCTGCTTGTGTGCGCAAACGCTAACCTCTGCGATAAGGTACTAGGTAGAGTGCCTCTGCGCGACGCGAGCCAGGTCGCTACTCGAGCCATCTGGCGATTGTTAGTACTGGCAAAAGATGAGGCTGTAGAGCCGTGAAATATATGTTACATGTAAATATTGCCAGGAATGACACATTTGACTCGTTCCTATTCTCCGTCTCCAAAAATGTCGGTCCAGCTAAACCCCCCTCCATCTCCCCCGCCAGCATCACCACCACTTTGACCGCCCTGGCTACCCCAGAAGTCTTGATCCTGGCCTCTAGATCCAAACCCAGGATCTTGAGTTTCACCCCATACATCTTCGCCAACTTGGCTTGTACCAGACTGTTGATTTGGGTCTGGTTGATATGGATCAGTAGCCTGTGGTGAAGCATCATCTCCTCGTTGCTGTGCAGCTTCTCTGCCTCTTTGCATAGCCTCATAGCCTGCCATTGTGGCAGCACCAGTCGCAGCGCCTTCTCCCACACCTAGACCTCGGGCTACAGCACCGACTTCACTGGCGATACCAGTTTCGCTAGCTGCCCCAACGACCCCAGCTCCAGCGGCGCCTGCTTCTCCTGCTGCAGCGCCCCCGGCAGCTGCACCGCCAGCAGCTTCACCACCCCCGCCAACCCAGGGCATCCACATTGGCCACATGCCTCCTGAGCCGCTATGCCGGCTGAAGTAGTCGAAATCGATGCTGACTGCTGTAGCAAGCATGACTGCTCGTTGATCGAGTGTCATACCTGGGTGCTGATCCAGTGGTGGCCTGCTTTGTTCCCCCGTTTTCGAGATAAGATGTGCGGGTTCGTTTGCCAGCCCAGCAGCATCCATTCTCAATGCGTACACTCCAGTATCCGTGAAGATTTCCCGAGCGAAGCCACCAAAGTTACGATTGACGGAGCCTGCCAATCGGCCATCCTCGGTCATCAAACTAAAGTCCCAAGATAGAAACGGTTCATCGACCCGTGCAAACTGGAGCATGCCGACTTCTCGCGTGTCATTCTCCACCACTGCGATTTCTTTTGAATTCGAGATGGGCAGGTCGCCAGATATTAGCTGCGGTGTCCCATGTGCAGCCGGATCCTCATCTAGACTCCTTGCCACAAACAAATTATACTTCCTCCTCAGCGGTGCCCATTCTTGCTCCGCAGCCCCTATAATCCTCATATCCTGCAACGCTAAGCCCGAAACACTTGCGCTCGTTTGATTCACAATGCTCGGCGCACTCGTACCTTGTAGGCTATTCGAGCTAGTATACGCCGCAGCGCCGTCGCGTCCTATAGCATCGTACACGCGTATCCTCGAACTGATCCAGCTGAACGGCCGGTGAAATCGGAGTATCTCCTTCTCGTCACGATCGAAGACGTGCGTTGTGAAGCTCCGGTGGGTTTTGAACATTTGCCTTGCGACAGCGTTGCCGATGCCGTGATCCTGCTCCGCCAGGTATCCGATGTGGTTGCCGTGTGGATCCATGATTACGTAGCGGTTCGCCTGCTCGAATCCCATAAGTACGTTCATCATTTCGAGCTGGCGTTGCACGATGAGTGAGGAGTTGTCGAGGAGACGCATGGCAGGGTGGTTTTGCTTGAGGACTGCATGCGGATCTTCTGGCATGTAGACTGGCGTGATGAGATTGTTCTCAGAGTCTGGTGTCGTGGCGAGGGCATTTGAGACTGCGTCAACTTTTGAGGGATCCTTTGGTGCCTCATTTTCTGGGGTCCTGGTTGAGTAGGCTGAGGTGAGTCGCTGATATAACCAGTTTGGTCCGAGAATGTGGGATTTGATGGCGGATGGTGTGCTTGTTCTATTGAGCGATCGAAGGAGGTGTCGTGATGGTCGGGTGGACCACCTCGCTGCTGGTAGCATTTTGAGGTATTAGTGTTACGTGTCTGAGCACGCAAGTATTTTACAATAAGTGTTGACTAGATCAGGCTGATTTAATGAACGGATGGTGATGCCTGGTCGCTCTTGGGTGGCGTCGCAAAGGTTCCGAGAAGTCGCTCTCCTCTTATTATGTCATAACAACGAAGTTGTTCACCAACTCAGTCTAACAAGCAATTCCAGCAAATTTTTTAGACAGAATCTCGAAGTAAGTGCTCAATTGCTGTGTGATGCTATGCAGATTCAAAAGTATAACCTGATGACTGTCTAGCAATTGAATTGTCGTGAGAGCGGGCCCCGGCCAATCGGAGCGAGGCTTGGCGAAGACTCATCTCTAAACTTTTTGAGCTTTGCTCTTTCTCTCCACACACTCGCCATGACGCTGACAACGCTCATCCACGGCGCCATTACGTGACGTCGCAAAGACTGGGTAAGTCATTGATTCTCCTCCTTCTGCTGCTCGGGGTGCCAAACATTGTGCGACATGCTTATACAGCATTGGTTCTGTGCGCTTGCACCCACAATGTGCGCTTTTGCACCCCGGGACACCCATTTTATGATGACATCTTTTTACTTATACGATCGCTGGCGCTGGCATTCACTTGACTGCGTTAGGCGATCGATGCTGTTTCCGTTACAATAGACTACAACGGTATCTGATATACATATACTCGCTGCGCGTTGAACAAACTCGGTCCATGCATATTCGCTAATCACCGTGTAGTTTCCTCAAACATCAAGCTTCTGTCGCCAGACATGGCCGAAGCTGTTCAGCCTGTGCAAGCTGATGCTGCAGGCAATGCCCATCCAGCTGGCGCGACTGAACAAAATCAAGAGAAGCCAAGCAACGGTGCTTCGAGGAAACCTCGTCCATGTCGACCCAACTACAATGAGATACATGCCAAACCTCTTCCAATAGATGTATATGCGCTACCTGCCTTTGTCCCTCATAACCCAATCTCTCTTGTACGACTGGCCATTAGTCTCCTTTCGCAATCTCTATGGCCACCCAAGTCGCATAACGTTATCCACAAGGCCTACTACTCCGTAGAGACGCAGTCGATCCATGTCACCGATCCGGCTTCAATTCGAGCCCTCTGGGAACAGGGATTTTGGGGCAAAGGCTCGCTTAGCAGAAGTGAACCGCAGTGGCTGGTCGCGGAAAAGCGCCGACGGGGAGCACAGGCATCGAAGACTAGCACAGAAGTTACTCAATCTAGGCGAGAGGAGCGGAGGCAATTCAAATTGGAACGAGCCAAGGCTCAACGTGAAGCTATTGAGCAGCAACTCCGGCAAGAGGGCAAACTGGTACCGGAGGCTACTGTCGATGTGCTTGTAGACGGCGATTCCAAGGACGCCACCACCTCTGACAATGTCAAGGTTCCTGCTATAGATGAGGCCACAAATAATATATTGGCAGAAGAAGAAGCCACCACTAAACTTGAGGAAATCGATATCCCGGACTTGGAACACCTTCAGCTCACGCCTGAGGAAGCTTTCTTTCTGTCCTATGTACTTGGTGCTCTGGATGTGGTCAACGTTGGCGCTACCGAGTCCGATGAGCAGTCTGAACCTTACTCAGCTTGGTACTTGCTCCGACTGTATTGTGCACATGCATCGACTTCCGACGACACGGCGGACAGTGAGAGGACTCTGACACATCTTCATACTGCATACATCATGAGTAAGGCCGCTACGCAAGTCGACTCAGCCCTGTCGTGCGTCCCGTCTATCGCTCCAGACAATCCATTCCTGTTGAAGTACGTCGTCTTCCACCACTTCCGCTCCCTTGGCTGGGTTGTCCGTCCTGGTATCAAGTTCGCTGTTGATTATCTGCTTTACATGCGCGGTCCCGCATTCACCCATGCGGAATTCGCAATCATGATCATCCCGTCATATTCGGCTCCATGCTGGAACGAAAACCCCCGTGGTGAGTCGAGGATTGCGGATCAGCAGCGCAAGGACTGGTGGTGGTTTCACAGGGTCAATCGGGTGCAGACGCAAGTTATGAAGACGCTCATGCTGGTCTACGTTGAAGTCCCGGAACCATGGGATACAAGCGCTACAGAGCTGGGAGGATTCAAGGTTGATATTGGCAGTGTGCTGAAGAAGTACAAGGTTCGAGAATTCGTATTCAAGCGATGGAGCCCAAGCAGGAATAGGGATTGAAGTGGGCAGTTCAAGAAATCGGTACTATATACCAACAACATGATATGATTAGAAGCCGTTGAGGCTCGTACTGTATTCTGGCATCGCCTTCTTCACCTCAAACTGCTTGCTCAAAATAACAAACTGTCCCACAAGAATCATCTGACTCCACTTCGGCCTATCCCCATCATAAATAGCATCATGCAACAAGTCCTTACACTTCTCCCACTCCAAAAAACCCAGCTCCTCCACATTGTCCTTCGTAATCAACCTCTGGAACAATTTATGCACCGGCCCATCCGGCTTATACCTCACCGGTGCCGAAAACGGATGTTTCTTGCGCGTATACAGCTCCGTCGTAATAAACGGCTTCATCGCTTCCTTGAGAATCCACTTTTCGCTAAAAGAGCGGGTAGCAGGTTCATAATGCAATTTCACGGACGGCGGTAGCGCCATTGCGTACTCTGTCAAGCGGTGATCGAGAAACGGCTGGCGGCCCTCCACACTATGTGCCATTTCGCAGCGGTCACCGAGGACGGTGAGGAGACCGTTTGCGAGACTGGTCTTGGTCCAGATGTAGAGGGAGGTGTGGAGGGGATGCCATTTCTCCGCCATGAGCGCGCGGGTGCAGCCGTCGAGGGCGGAGACGGCTGTGAGGCGCTTGTCGCTTGTGCCGAATTCGTGGGGGACCCAGGGTGCGAAGAGGGTGTCGCGGAGGGAGGCGGTTTGCGTGAAGCCGAGGAAAGAGGTGTTGTTTACCTGGGCGCGGACGGCGGCGGAGGTGGAGAGGTCTTTGGGGCCAGAGGTTTCGGAGCCTTCGAGGTTGTTGAAGGTGGCTATCCGGTCGGCTTCTGAGAGGGCAGTGTTTGGCCAGGAGGTATCGGGTTCGCGGACGAAGTCGGTGAGTAGCTCGCGGTAGCCGGCGAAGTGCTCGTCTGAACCTTCGCCAGTCAAGACGACTTTGATGCCTGCGTCGCTGGTTGTCTTGGACAGTAAGAACTTTCCCACTGTGCCTAGATCTGTCACTGCAGCTTCGTTGTGCCAGACTGCAGTTTCGATGTTATCAGCGAAGTTCTCCTCGGTCATCTCGCAGTGGTGCATTTTGACTCCTAGCCACTCGGCTGTTCGGCGTGCGATGGGTTCTTCGTCGTGTTCTTCGCCTATGAACTTGACACTGAAGCAATTTATTCGCTCAGATGCGGGTGCAGTGCCCAGTCGCGCGCCTTCAGTGTCCATCAGGTGCTTGATCATTCCTGCTATTGCACTGGAGTCGATTCCACCACTCAGAAAGACGCCAATTGGTACATCTGCACGGAGACGATCGCGAACAGCGTCTAGAAGTCGCTCCCGAACACCCTCAATCATTTCCTGTTCACTTCGTATTTCCACTTGTCGCTGAAGGTTGTTAGTTGCACTTCCTCTTTAAGTGATATAGATTCACCTTGTCTTTGAATTGGACATCCCAGTATTTATATTGCGAAATGGTGTTGAACGACCTGCACACCAGATAGTGACCAGGTAGTATCTTCGATACACCCTGAAATATTGTTCGTCCATCGCAGAGCCAACCGACGTCTTTGATACTCTGTACATCCCACTCCGGTTTCCATCCAAACGGAAGGAAAGCTTTCATCTCAGAAGCAACCTAAAATTCAATGTAAGTATCAAATGTCTTCCCTCTAATGAAGGATATTCCTACCAGAAGTTTCCCATCTAGAATGGTATAATACATCGGCTTGATCGCATACCGATCACAAGCAGCGATGATCACCTTCGCAAGCGAATCGTACAAGCACAACGAAAACTCTCCCCTCAGATACTCTAAAAACGACATCCCATGCTTCTTATACAACGCCAGAGCAATCTCTGAATCTGACCGACTCTTAAACTTATACCCTTCCCGACTCAGCTCTTCTCTGATCTCCTCATACCTATAAAGCTCCCCATTCACAACCGCATGCACCGTCCCCTCTGCATCATGAAACGGCTGTTCCCCCTCTGGATTCAAATCGACAATTGCAAGCCGATTATGTCCAAGTGCTGTGTATCACCAAAGACGAAGAAGACGTTAGTCACGTGGTCGGTTCAACAAACACCCGTATTCAAACATCACTCAATCCCAAAAAACATACCCACGCGACAATCCTCGCTAATCCAATGCCCATTCGCATCCGGCCCGCGATGCTTAATCGTATCCAAACTCTTTTCCAGCGTGGCGCTCAGCACCGCTCTATCCCCAGCTAGCAACGGTCCATGACCGCGCAGCGCAACCGCACAAGTGATGCCGCACATTGGTGTATGTCGTTTACGACTCCGGTGTCCCGACAGAAGAAGATGTGTAACAACACTCCATACCTCTGGATTCGAAAGAAACTCTGGGGTTAGCGTTGGGGACAGCGGGGACAGCACAGCAATAGTAATGACGTATGCGATCGATCGTAGGGCCCGCCGGGCTCCATGAGATGCGCTCCAGTTCCTGATAAAGATGCATTTGGCTTGTTGCTGCTTTGGGGCTTAGTGCTAGACGGCTGAAGCGGGAGCCGTGAGGTTCCAGGGATGGGCGTACAGTGGTGTACCATACATTTTGGATTGCCTTATCTGGCGCGTTTTGCGGGGTAGGGATTCGATTGGTGAGGGCTCGGGTTTAGTGACGGCACCCCAATGTATGCACTTAGGACTGGCGGCATGCTTTGTGATACTTGCCGATTGGCCTGGTGTACGATCTTTATTGCTTGGGGGTCGATCCGATCCAGGCTTGTTTCGACTTCTTCGTTTTTGTGTATTCAGAATAACAACACTCCGTACATTAACAATTTTCCTATGCTGGACCCTTCAGTGCTTTTTTTTCTGACTAGTTATCGAATATCTGAATCAAGCCACCTCTTGCAAAAACAGATTCCCATTCTCCCAATTCTTCTTTACTGCTCTCCTCATCCAAGCAGCAAACAAATGCTCCGATTCACCCTCATATATTATACTATTTCATGACAGAAGACACATACAGAAACACCATGTCCTTCCATGAACACTGTAGGTCATTCTGGAATCATGCCTGACCAGCAAGCAAACCATTTCCAATCTCTATTTCCACTTGTGAATCCTATACTATTACAAGCACCAAATAAACCACAACTCCACTACTGCAACAAGTGATTTCATTCCTCCAACACTGCCACATCCAAACCGAAGACCAATCATAGACCCAGCTAAGATGAAGCCCTTCTCTCTAATCAAGGCTACTACCGTCGTCCTGAGCCTTACCGTTCGCCAAGCATCCGCCAGTCGGATCGAATACGCTGTGTGCCAGGCAGGCTGCGCTTCGCTCGTGATGGCATGCTACACTGCAGCCGGTTTTGTGTGGGGGACTGTAGGTAGGGATACAGCATCACAGGCTATTCTTTTCTGTAATGCTGCTTTTGGGAAGTGTTCGGCTGCGTGTGCGGAGGCGACGTTGTAACCCACGCTTTGGACAGAAGAAGATGGCAGTGTAGACGAGTTGGATCAAACACAACGCATAGGTCAATATTCACTGGACAAGGAGGCATTGATAAAGAATGAAAGGTTTCTGTGCATGCTGTAGAAGTTATGATTAGCAAACCGCGCATAGCGGAGTGTGCTTCTCTTTCTCTTCTACAATAATATATGGTACGACCACTTGTCCAGACCACTCTTGCCATCTATGTGTACTCTAAGCTGAGCTCTAAGATGCCACGCTAACAGGCATTGTGTCTCTACATCCATTGCCAGATACAAAACACCCAAAGCAGCATTTACCAGGTCAAGGTGCAGTGCTCTACTGGGCAGCAGCCTGTGCACCACCCCTAGGACCACCTCGTCCACGAGATCCTCCACGCCCACGGCCTCGACCCCTTCCACCCCGTCCACTATCCAGGTTGGCTGGTGGAGGAACGTTGGAATAGTTTCGCGGTTGGAAATTGGGGTTGTTGGGGACAACACCCTCGGCAGGGTCGGTGTTGTCGATAACGGTAAAGCCACCACGGTTGGCCTTGGAACCTCCTCGTCCACGGGGCACGAAATCTGCAGAACCACCTCGGAGATTACCGCGAGCATTGCCTCTGTTTGGAGCATGGTTCTGGTCCTGAGCGTGGTGACCGTTCGTCTGTCCGCCACGAGGCGCGTAACCACCACGGCCGCCACGAGGTGGTCCGCCATGGATGGGTAGAGTCTGCTGCTGACCCTGGGCTTGCTGAGGACCCGGGCTTTGTCGCGGAGCCATGCCACCACCGCGCCCATTGACGTTACCGAAAGCTCCTCGGTATGAGCCACGGAGAGGGGGTGGTGTATTCGCTGGTACCAGTTGAGGGCCTCCAGGAGCACCGATACGGGGCATGTTGTACGACTGTGGCGCTTGTTGCGGGCGTCTAGCAGCAGCAGCACTTGAGTAGTGAACAACCTGCTGATCAGTCATATTGACAACAGCAGTCGCTGGAACGGTAGATCCCCTAAACGGAGAGCAACGGTCGCCAAGCGATGTTCCACTCATGAATGTAGCATCGAAAACAACGTCCAGCAATAGCACACGAGCTGTGCGTGTCTTGCCGACCACGGTACCCGATGACCCAATTGGCACCCTTCCAGAATCTTGTACGTAGACAATGCGATCACCGATGCTGAAAGTCTGGTGTCCCAGTCGTTGCTCTGCATCCGATGGCTTCAGCAAAGCAACACGAGGCACCTTTGTAACCTTCTTAGGCTCAACGTCTTGGGTGAGTGGGAAGTTGGCATCCGCGGCCTGCTCGATCAGCTTGACTGTGTCGGAGTCAAGCTGCTCAGCATCCAAAGGAACCTTCTCAAAACTCTTAGTTTGAACTTCCTTCAACCAAGCTCCAATCTCTTTGACTTTTTGCTTTGCAATCTCAGGTGGGTAAAAATCGGTATCTTCCCAGCCGTCACCTGTTGGGTTGTTGATGATGGCGGCAACAAACTCGGGAAACTTGATCATATAACTAGCGAGCAAAGCCATGGCTTTCTGGCTGTACTCCCATCCGTTGGCTGACTTTCTTGAGTAGCCCAAAACCTTGAGTTTCTTGGCTTCAAATTTCAAGTTCAGGCCAAGATTCAGCTTGAGACCACTTGAGTTGACGTTGAAAGAGGACGTGAGCTTGGATAGAGCAAGCGGCGGCATATTGAGCTGCTTAGCCACAATGTACGATGGCAGGTAGGGAGTAGCCTTTTCAGCCATGCTCACAACCTCACGTCCGAAGTGCGGCTCTGGTTTCTTGAGTTTGGCTACCATGATCGTAGCCTTGTTGTCGGCATGACTAATGACTTGCAAGGGGCGACCATAGGCGTAGTCTCCAAGATAGAAAGCTCTAGCGCCCACAGGAAATTCTTCCTCAATGGGCAAAGCCTCCTTCTCCAAGAATCGAGCGTCTGGGCTAGCGACCTCATCAACAATGGTCTGGGTTGCATACTCGACCTGCAGTCCCGCGACCTCACCATACTCCTTGATAGTCGCACCCTCGTCAGTCTTGCGTAGTCCCTTGAGCATTTCCACGTGCACGAGAGACTCAACCTCTCCAATGTTGATACCGAGACGCTTGCTGTATTGCGTTTCGATGCGGTTCGCGGTCTTCTTCCAGTTGGAGATTTCTTGAGGTCCATGTGGAATAGCAACTGGGGCAGATGGGCCACTCTCAGGGAGTACATAGTCGAAGAGTTCATCTGACACCTTCACCACCTTTGCCTCGTGTAGGAATGGGTAGCCGACGTGAACGGCCTTTCCGAGCTTTTCTTGTGCATGCGACACTGACTGTCGAGGCGCAGTATCCAGCAGTGTGATAACCATGCTCTCGTTTCTGCTGTCTTGCTGGAAAACGTTGACGCCAGCAAACTCGAGCTTGCCGTGGAACGGGAGGACCTTCAAACTAGGGAAACCTGCCAAGGCCTCTGCTCCAGTTTTGACACCATCCATGAGACCAATGTAGTATTCTAATCCTTCCATGGTGGGCAGATCGAAGATGTTCTCAATACATTTGCAGTGTGGAAGATCTGGGAAGATGCCCGGTAGAGATGACGGGTAGATAAAATCCAGATCCTTCGCGTAGCTGAATTTGAGTGATACACCGAAGGTGTTGCGGGCCTTCTCATCTGCAGTCAGTTGATCCTCCTTGGTAGCCATGGCCTTGAGCAAGCGGTCTTCCTGGATGAATGGGATTTTGACAACAGCCTCCCAATCCTGCTTTTTACCATTCATGTCCAGAGTGAAGTCCCGAGGATAGAAATCAATAATGGGAGAGTCCTCGTTCGTCATGAGGGGATGGTAGGCTTTCGGTACAATGCTCTTACTACGATCGGGCAAAACACCCATCAACTGTTGGTAAGGCTTGAATGGTTGACCAAGCTTGAAGTTGATATCTGCCTTGAGACCCCGCTTGACATCAGAGATCATGGGCGAGTAGTGGTAACCATAGTACCATGGCCACGATGCTACACCACGGTAGTAGTAGTAGAGAACCCACTGCAGACCTTGGACGTAGTTCTCCGTCAGCTTGCGGAGCTCTTCCTCGTTGCTACGGTCCCAATCAAACTTGCTCTTGTAGTAGCTGTTCTTCCAAGCTTCGAACTTTTCGTCGTACTTCTTCTGCATCTCGGATTGAGCAGCCTCGGGAGAAATGTCGACAACCTTGGCCTGCTCATATTTCTGCACAACACGTGCAATAGCTTTGGCAGATTCGTCTTCCATTTCCTCATCCTCGTCCGAATCGCCCTCGACCAGCTTCGGCGGGGCAGTGATTTGGAGATGACGATCGCCATCATCGTTCTGAACAGTCTTCCAAGGAAGATGGAGCTTATCCGCAAGCTCCTGGACGAATTTTCGGTCATCCGCTGGCAAGGAAACGGGAAGATCGAGAGGAGCCTGCTCCTTCTTTCCCAAGTAGTTGTCCAACCAGGCCTTGACCTGCGAGAACAACTCCTGTTGTTGAGTAGTCATGACAATCGTGCCTCGTTTCGCGGTCTTCTTCATTACGTCTTCCTTTTCAAGGCTCTTGCCCTTGAACCAGGCTGCGTCGGAGTTTTCAGATTCGAAATGACGATATTCTATGTTTGAGAGCTCGTCCAACAATGCAGCCAAGCGCTCCATGTTGATGACACCTCCCTCATTGATATACCCTTTACCCTTGGGCAAAACCGTCTTGTAAACGTTGAACATGAGAGCCAAAGCGCCCTCGTTGATATGCAAATGCGGAAGATTTGGAAGGAAATCGTTACCAACAAAGAAAGCCATTAGGATAAAGTCGTCAATAACACGCTCCATGTCGAAGGGAAAGCTAAGAGCGCCAGGCTCTTCCAGCTCCTGAAACTCGAGTTCCAGATACTCGCGAACTATGCAAAGATGCATGAGGTAAAAGTTCTGGTGCTCCAACTCCTTGGACTTGGTCTGGCTCTGGCGACCGAAAGTCACCTCTTCTCGCAGCAAACTAAAGTGGGGGTCATGGCTAAGCAGACCCAACATGATCAAGTCTGCATCAAGACCATACAAGCAATGGCGACGGTTCGGGTCGTACCCCGGCTGCGCCTTTGCCTGACGGATGTATTCCATGATCTTGTGCTCGCCCTCTCCGGGGACCTCATGGCCTGACAGGACGACTTCCACGCCCTGCCAATCAATGTCCTCAGAGACCTTCTTGTTGATGAAGTACTTGAGTTGCTGTGTGAGCTTCGCCATGAACGCCGTGCCTGGCGTGATGCAGTTACTGTCAAACGCTTCCTCGGTCGGCATCTCAACGCCTTCGCGGATAGCCTTCTCCCGAGCCTTTTCAGCATCGAGAGCCGTTCGGAAGCGTCGCGCACGCTGTTGGTTCATCTTGGCGCGCGGGGCGACACCATCGATGGCCATGAAGAAGAGCTGCTTGGGCTTGATTTTGCCAAACAAGTGCTCGATGTAATTGAAGATGCTGATGAACATCTGTTCTTCCGATTTGCGGGCGGTGACGCTGTCGGAATCGCTGTGGGTACAGTTGTGGATAATACCGTTCATATCAAGCTGTGGCTGTCAGCCTTGGGCGTCAATGACAGCATCAAGCCACTTACATAGAGACAGTCGAACTCAGGAATGCGGTTCTCGGCAATGAGCTGCGAGATACCCGGATACCTTTCGGACATCCACCGAAAGAACTTGGGAACACCCATGGTTGCTGCTGTTACTATTGTCTAGTAATTGCTGAGAATAGATGGCAAGGCGGCTATGCGACCGTTGTTTTTGCAGTCGGGCGGGGCGAATTGGATCGCAAAGCAGACAAAAAGAAGAAAAGCAATAGCGAAAAGAGGCGCGCAAAGGCGCTGAGGGGAGAGAGAGCAAAGGGTATGGGGTGGCGGTTCTCGACGCTGGGGTCTTCAAAGAGGGCAAGTCTAGATGACAGAGTCAATGGATATACTGACGGCAAGTGCCAAGCATGTGGGGCGCTAACGACGTGATCGACGCCCGGGTTGTCTGAACGCGAACTTTGGCATCGCGTCGTTGCGCCGGACTTTCACGCCCGACAACCTCCACGTACCGCGATAGGACGTGTATTTGCCACAGTTGAGCTTGTTGAGAACCCAACCACAATCAAAATGGACGAGACAATGAGTGGTAAGTTACACGCGCCTTCACAGATATTGTCTGCAGCAGTAGTCCGCCAATGACGCCAGGCGCTGGACAATTGCTAGATGTAGCTTTGCATGCCTTCACAAGCGCTCTCCGCTCATATGAACGAGGCATGGATACTACTCTTTGAACTGAGTGCCAGCCAGAGCTTTGTCAGGGCGTCAACCAATTATGATTGCGTTTGCGACAGGCTACGAGCTGCGCATTATATGCTATCATCTTGACATGACTAGCGCACTGTTTGCTCTCCGATAGGCACATTCCAGAGGATATGGACAAGACATGAATTATATCACAGCATTCTTCAAATTGATACTGACACCGTCATCACAGACGCCCACGATTCGCATGAGATGGACGACCAGGAGCAGGTCGAGCAGAAGATCATCAACGAAGAGTACAAGATATGGAAGAAGAACTCCGTATTTCTCTATGACATGCTGTATGGCCGCGCGCTCGAGTGGCCAACACTCACCACCCAATGGCTTCCCGACAAAAAGCCGGTCGAAGGCACAAACATGAGCCAGCACCGCGTTATCCTCGGTACCCACACCTCGAACCAAGCGCAAAACTACCTCCAGATCGCCCACTGCGAGATACCCGACTTTCGCGAGCCCGACCTGTCAGAGCTCAATGAAGAGCGGGGAGAGATTGGCGGACACGGCAATGCCAAGCGGCCCTTTGACTTCAAGATTGTACAAAAGATCAACCACCCAGGCGAGGTCAACAAGGCACGGTACCAGCCTCAGAACCCAGACATAATAGCATCTCTATGCGTAGACGGCAAAGTCCTGGTGTTCGACCGAACCAAGCATCCCCTACAACCCAAGGACGATTCAATCAAGTTCGAAGCCGAGCTCATCGGCCACAGCAAGGAGGGTTTCGGTCTAAGCTGGAGTCCGCTCAAAGAAGGCCACCTGGTAACCGGAAATGAAGATACCACAGTCAAGACCTGGGACCTCAAATCCGGCTTCTCAAAGAGCAACAAGACACTCAGCCCCACCGCCACCTACACCGTCCACACCGCAACCGTAAACGACGTCCAATACCACCCCATCCACAACTTCCTCATCGGCACCGCCTCGGACGATCTCACCTGGCAAATTATCGATACCCGCATGGAAACCCACAAGAAAGCCCTCTACAGAAAAGAAGCCCACGAAGACGCCGTAAACTGCATTTCCTTCCACCCAGAGTTCGAAAGCACGTTCGCTACGGGCTCGGCGGATAAAACAGTTGGTATCTGGGACTTGCGAAACTTTGATAAGAAACTGCATAGCCTCCAGAGCCACCGTTCCGACGTCATCGGTCTGCAGTGGCACCCACAAGACGCTGCTATCCTCGCAAGTTCCAGCTACGATCGCCGTATTTGCCTCTGGGATCTCAGCAAGATTGGGTCTGAGCAGACGGAGGAAGAGGCGGAAGATGGACCGCCTGAGTTGTAAGTTTCGAACAAATCCTTTTTCTTTGCGACGACGTACTAATCATGGGATAGGTTGTTCATGCACGGCGGTTTCACAAACAGAATCTGCGACTTTGACTGGAATAAGAATGACCCGTGGCTTATGATGGGTGCGGCTGAGGATAACCAGTTGCAGATTTTCCGGCCCTCAAGGAAGCTTGTGGAGCCGCTGAAGAAGAGTGTGAATCATGGGGAGGTGTCGGATTGAGCTGGAGTTGTCTGTGGGGTTCCTTCTTCACCGGGAAGGATGTAGCATGTCACGTCGTCAAGGAAAGGGGGCAAGGCAAGAGTGAGGAGATTGTTTGCTGTACAAGAACTCCAGCTCAGTTTGGAACCTAGGAGGCAACACGTCTTGCATCCCATCAACTCAATCTCTCCAAAACGAAAGAGTAAGCAGGAAAATATGAAGCAAGAATAATCCCTATATCATTCAACAAACTCCCCATAGCTAAATAAACACAATCAAACAACCTCTCCATCCCTTCAATACCCCAGCGTAGCCTTCATCTCCCCAACATTCCTCCCATCAACAACCAGCACCCAGGCCCCCACCCCTTCTCCCCCCGTAACCCCCACCACCTCCTCTTCGCCAGGCAAAAGCGTAAAGTAATTCTTACTCCACAGCAGCGATCCGACATCCCTCCCCGCCGCATCTATTACATTCAGTCGTACAAACACCGCGGGGACTGGACTGGTATTCCTGAGCACCAAGCGGGCTAATACGTTATTCACAGGGGAAGAAGGCAAGGCGGAGACGCTAAGGGTCGCGGCGGGAATACGCGATAAGGCAGAGTAATCTTCGTATTTGGCTACGGGCGTGTAGTACCAATTCGACCTGCCCCAGTCGAGGATGTCGGGGGCGCGGGAGAGCCAGTATGTTTTCTTTGCCAGGGTGCTATTTCCATTGTTAAGCTGCAAGCGGACTAGAACAACGGAGTCGGCCGTTTCATTCTGCCAAGGAGGAAGCCTCGCTACTTCGCTTGCCGAGTTCGGTTTAGTAGTTGCAGCGGTGGTTTGGCTGGCTATAGTCGTGCCGTTTAGTGATACAATTTGCATGCTTACGGTGCGTTGGTCAGAGACATATCCGGGAGTGTTGGGGACGAGGAGACGATTGACGAGGGATACGGCTTGGGTTTCATAGTTGAGAGTGAGGGTTTCGGGAGTGCCGAGGGCGTCTTTGGTGCCGAAGTAGGCGCCTGCTGGGCGGAGGTAGTAGTCGAAGAGGTTCCAGTGGAGAGAGGGCCAGGCGTTGTTGAGCATCCAGTATATCATGCCTGTTGCAGGTCTCTCGAGGGCTTCGTTCCAGGTACTGATTAGAGACTCGAATTGGGCGCGCGTTGCTTCGTAGTCCATCATTTGTGCTTTGAGGACGTAGTCGGATAGGCTTGATGGGGCACCGTAGCGTGCCCAAAGACCATTGTTGTAGAGTTCGCGTGTGTGAAAGACTGAACCCTCTGTCGCCATGTGGTAGAGACCTTTCTTTGGTTCTCTCCAGAGATCTTCCAGGTCAGATGGTGACAAGAATCTCACTAGAGAATTAAGCTCAGGCGTGCCTGCTCCTGCGCTGAGTTCAGAGCCGAATCCTGCTGCACTGCCGTATCGACGTTGAGGATCGTACCAGTAGTTGGGAGGCTCCCAGTCATATGGGCCCTGCATCTTCAAACCACTATTATTGAGTTGAGACGGTGCTCCCCATTGGATTGCGGATGCCAGGATGGGGATATCCCAGTTTACGGCGCTGAGAGCATCGAGGTAGATCTGTGTTGCCCTGTCATTCGGCCAAAAGTCACTTCCAATCAGGAAACCCAACATGCTAGGGTGATGACGCATCATCTCAGCTTCGTGTTTCATTGATCGCGCCGCAATTGGGTAGTCGGGATCGGTCCATTTCTCACCACTACCAATGTCGTTGTAAGTCCACCCCTCCCATTTGTTGCAGCATTCCCAGCCAGCGAGTATCATGATGCCCATTTGGTCGGCTAGATCATAGAATTCAGGGTGTTCCTGTTTTCCTTCTGAGCGGATAGTGTTCAGACCCATGTCTTTGACCAATTGGAATTGTTTCCTGGTCTGTTCCAGGTCAAATCGTAGGTAAACATCAGATGTATAGCCCGCGCCCTGGGCTTGGAATCGATGGCCATTGACGAAGAACGTGGTATCATTGAAGCGTGGGTTCAAAGAAGAAGTGACTGTGCGGATACCGAAGTTGGTTGGCGGTGTAGAGTCGGAAGCAGGATTGGTAGAGGTCGAAGCGGTACATTGAATGCTGTATAACGGCTGACTGCCCCATTGGTAAGGCCACCAAATCTGAGGGTTGTCTACTTTCCCCCTGAACGATATGGTTGATTGCTGACTGCCAGTGAGCTTGAAGTGTGATGTTGCGCTCAAGATTGCGAGTTTATTAGGGTCAAAGACTGTACACGCAGCATCGCCCTCAACATCGCTATCCTTTGCCATATTCTTGACGTCCACAAAGATATCGATACCTCCATCGAGTGCGGCGTGCGTAGTGACCCTCGGGGTATTCAGTCTAACCTGGCCTGACCTCTTCAGCTGAAACGGTCGCCATATACCGGTTCCATTGTCTTGTGGAGGAGGGTTCCAGTCCAAGAAGGAGATGGCAAAATCTCGATTGTAGTCTGTCGGATACACTTTCACCAAGACTACATTTTGCGCACCATTGGGCTGAATGAGGTTAGATATATCGTACTCTATCCCAGCATACGACCCGGCCTGAGTCTCTTTATCTGCAATAAGTTGCCCGTTGACCCAAATGTCCGCTCTTGAAGTGATGCCATTGGTGATCAAAGTGTAGTAGTCATTGTGAGTTTTCTCGGCGATCACGACCTTGTCAGTTCGGTAATACCATGGGATTCGAAATTGCGCAGTATCTATCTTTTGCATGTTGGTCGAGTAAAACAAATCGGCATCGTTGTAAACATGATTGCTGATGAGTGTGTTCATGAGAGTGGCTGCGGGTCCGATGGAATACCATGATGAAGTGTCGATGCCGGATTGGGAGAGTCTAATGGGGTCATCAACGACGTTGGCGGAGGATATAACATTCCATTGCTGCAAGGTAGTTGTGGAGGCAAGGGCGCCTTGTGCAACCCATGAAAGGGTAGTTGGGAGGTGCATGGCTGTCCTGTCTTTGTCTATTACATGGCGGCTATCACGAAGAGTATATATAGTTGTAGACAAGAAGGCCAGGAAGGCTGCCGTGGATGATCAGATGTATCCTACCTTGGGAACAGCGGTCCTGTGCACTGTCACCTCATAATATTACGGCTGATTTGCATATGTCAGGGAAACCGTGACCCAATTCGCGGGAATCGGCATGGGTCAGGTTGTACAGCTTGCTAGGAAAATGGTGTGAGTTTGGTGATAATCCTGGTACTTGCACCGGAGTCTGCGGATGTACCGCTGTAATATGTCTGTTGGCCATTCTTCGTGTAGATCTGACTGAAAGAGCATTATGGGCAGAGCAGAATGGTTCATAAAGCAAAGTGAGCCGAGTAGGAAAGAGAGTGGATAGGCTGTGTCAAGTGGATGCCGTTGGTCTAAGCGCAAGCTCCGAGGTACGTACCGGGACAAGCTTTGGAACAGCTCCCCGCATTCGTCATTGCATCTCTCATCTTCACCATGTGAGGCCGGCAACACCAACGTACACAACCAAAAAACAATTAAACATGCTCCTTCTCGGCCTCACCGGATCGATTGCGACGGGCAAATCGACCGTCTCATCTCTGCTCTCCAAACCACCATACTCACTTCCCATCATAGACGCCGACTTGATCGCGCGACAGGTCGTCGAGCCCGGCACTGCAGGATACAATGCGATTGTCAAATATTTCTCGCCCTCAACACCGGATCTGCTCCTCCCAGATGCGACACCAAAAGGCGCGCCGCTAAACCGACCAGCGCTGGGACGAAGAGTGTTTGGTGCTGGCGAGGAGAAGGAGCGCGACAGGAAGATGCTCAACAGCATTGTCCACCCTGCGATACGCAGGGAGATGTACAAGCAGATGATATGGGCCTACCTGCGCGGCAACTGGGCGGTTGTGTTGGATGTCCCTCTTCTCTTCGAAAGCGGATGGGAGCGATACTGCGGCACCATTCTCGTCGTGGGCGTCTCAGACCCCGCAATCCAGATCCAGCGTCTGCGCGCTCGGGATTCACATCTTACCGAGGAAGATGCGCGGAACCGTGTTATGAGCCAAGGCGATGTGCGCGAGAAGGCAGAGCGTTGTTTGCGGAGGGGCCCGGGTAACGGCGTTGTGGTCTGGAATGATCACAACAGAGAGCATTTGGAGAAGGAGGTGCAGAGAGTCATGCAGGATATTCGGAAAAGAAGCCCACGATGGTGGAGTTTTCTTCTCTGGGTGTTTCCGCCGTTTGGTGCCATGGCAGGACTGTGGAGCTGGTATAAGATGCGGAATGTGCAGCTGCAATGGGAGTCAGAGAAGAAGAAGGAAAAGGCAAAGTTGTGAGAAGCAGTTTGAGCTGTACTACTATACTACCCTTGGGTTAAGGTCAGCGCTAGTATTTGTCTTGATGTTTGTTGAGTGTGCGCATATATATCCTGGTAGTTGGTCAAACAACATTGTATCACAGTAACTAATTTTCAATCATCTCAATCTTGTGTGTATTTCTGTATTCAATTCCCGTCCAGTGTTCTAGTTTTGAAAGTGCTGTTCGTCGTCGTCCTGCGTATCACTCTGCAAACGCACAGAACCAGACTCCCCTTTCACCTCTCACCACTACCCAAACAATGCCCTCAAAACGTACTCGTAAACCTCTCTTCTACATCCACCTCGTTACCCATAGAAAAAAGCCAATTCCAAACCCTAAATCAAAGCATCATCACTCACGAGCCTACAACACCTACATTTGCGAACCCAGCACCTCGCACTCGCACTCGCACTCTCACTTCATAAAAACATCTCACCACACCACCATGAGCTCCATAACCCCACCCTCCTTCATCGACGACGCCATCTCGCTAACCAACCGCCTACCCCGGGGCCTCAGCACACACCAAGTAGCGCAATGGCTCTCACAGCACGGATCCGACACGTCGGCGTACACGGGCAGTTTCATCGACGACGGCGCGGACAGCGTGTTACGCGACAGTGGAATACCACCCACACGAGGATGCGAGCGACAAAAAGAGAAGAGAAAGCATGACAAAGAGCATGTGTGGAACGAGCATGTGCGGAAAGCGGTGAGCGGAGATGTGCAGCGGCATGTAGAGAAGATACGGGGGCTGCGTGGGTGTGTGCGGGTTCAGAAAGTGGGGGGTGGTGGCGTGGGGGAAAGCGAGAAGAAGAAAGAGAAGGTGCCTGTGCCCTTGCCGCGGGAGTGGGGGACATTTGTTATCAGGGAGAAGGACGGGCGGGTTGTCGTTGTGGATAAAGAGGGGGAGTTTGATTCTGGGGCGCAGCAGCAGCAGCCAAGGCGGGCTTGGATTAGAGACGAGTCTACGGGTCCGGCTTCTGAGACTGAGTCTGTGAGAGGGGATGGGGAGCAGCTGAGACTGGAGCAGCAGATGGGTTCAGGCTGGTCCCAGGGGAGTTCCAAAACGGCGAGGCGGAGGCATAAGGAATTTGGGTGGAACAGCAGTCAGGGCTCTCCAACAAAGGTACTCTCGCCTATATCTGAGTCTGAATGCGAGAGTGGATGCCTATCTTCTGGAAGCAAGACCACCAGATTACCGAGGGACTTCATGATGAGCGGTGCGAATGCATGGTCACCACACACTCGGCCTTCAGCTATGTCTACAGTTGACTCAGCAAGCGAGAGCTGGGACTACGGGACCTCGAAATCGGTAGCTGAGATGGTGAAAAAGGGGTACAGGCACGTCAAGCCAGTATCTCGGGAGAGTAAACGCGCTGGAGACGCGTGGAAAGTGGATGGCTCAGAACATTGGTACCGAAAGAATGGATCGACCTCCTCGAGCAAGAGCAAAAGGTCGACCAAGAGTTGCTCAACATACAAGGCGCCGGCCGTAGAAGACGCATCCAGTACCTCGTTGGGAGGTGATGGCAGGAACTTACCTCACCCATATACTTGGGCAACCAGTCCAGCTAACAGCCCGGGCAATTGGAGTCGCGGGTCAAAGTCCGCAGACAATCCTGCATGGACGGATATTCAAGCTTATTTCTCACAGCAACATGTCTTGAACAATTCAGCTACGACATGCTCGTCGAGCGAAGTAACATGGGACGGGTTCGAGCGCGACAAGACACTAAGTGACGTCAGCATTGCAGGTTCCAGCAGCACACGCGGATGTCCTAGCAATAAGAGCATGCAAAGCAATCATGATGACACAGGTCGGCGAAGCACGTCTCGCGAGCAAAGACGCGCTGATAATCAGCATGGCTGGGAGGCGCACGGAAGTAGCGGAAGAGGCACTGTCAGATACGCGAATGGCTTCGATGAGGACAACGCGACGTATCTAAATGCGAATTGGGGCGGGACACCGGTACGCGTGACTAAGTACTAGTCTTGTCGGTCTTCCGAGGCTGGAAAAAAAGTATATCGGACTTTTTCATGTGGGGTTCGGTGATTGGCGTGGGTGCTTGGACTGGTACTAGAACCACGAAAGCGCGACTGATGACGGACCGTGTTGAAGAAACGAGATCTGGGGATTTTTAGTGGGGACTAGGATGAATTGATGGAAGATGGATTTTTTCTTCTCCCAGACTACAGCAGTAATACGAAATGTTTCGTATGGAGTGGTCATGATGGAGCGCAATGGCTGAATGCTGGGAATGAGGGTGTAATGGATACAGCACGGGGAACCAACGAGTGTCCCAGCCTTTGATATATTGAGCGTGACGAAGCAGGCTTCGCGTGCAGAGGGCGCCTCGTCGCGCACAGCATTACCGGGAATCACGTCGCTGACATGCATCCAGCTCTACGCGTCGAAACACCGCCCGGGACTTGGAACATGGCGCGAGTGGGATGGAGCCAAAGCGCAGCACAGCTCCGGTCCACCAACCCCCCTTGGTCGAGGGCCATTGCTGTTACGCAAAAGTCGTCGGGTGCCCGTCTCAAGACGCACACACTGCTCGTTCCAGCAGAAGCAGCCAGACGCGCCAAGTGGGCACTCGGGGAACGAGCAGTTCACGTCTTTTGCAGGCTGGATTGACGCATCGCGAGCGTGTCTATAGGGCGGCATAGGCTGGCTGTAGGGCATATCTGCAAATAGCGCGGGTGGATCCAGAGGGTAGTGGCCAGTAGACGGCATTGCATGAATTGCGCTCATTAGGATCAGGCCGGTTTCCAAGCGTCTGATTCGGAGAGCCATCCCGGCAAGTGTCTGGGGTGGAGTGGAGATGACGCCCTCTGCGCGCGCTCGCCCCTAGAATACGTGAGCGACACGCTAGCCACCGACGCGTTGAGTGCTCCGTCTATTAGCTGAAGCCTGCCCACCACAGCCTTTTCTGCTTCATTCTCTCTTCTGCTTCTCCTGCTCATCCTCTTCTGCTGGGCTCGAGAGTCGCTGTGTGAATCCAAGTCGTTGTGTCTCCTTCACTCATTCCATACGCTGCTTCTTGCACTACGCTTGTTGTTGTGTGCCAGGCTAATCCCAGAGTCACGTCGACACTCACACCCCCACTACTTATCTACTACAACCACGCCCCAGCGCCTGTCCACCCACCACCTCCGCCACCTCCACCTCCACCACCGCAACTCCAGCCCATTGCTGCTGCATCTCTAATTCTTGAAAACCCGCTCCGCCGTATTCTTCACCCTCTGTACCATGGCTACCTCGACGCGCCAACCCTTTGCCGAGCTCGGCTCGTCCCGGCTGCAAGGACTGCACAGTGCAAAGAACCGCCAGAATTGTAAAGCGCCTCATCTGACATGCAGCTCAACATTGGCTAACCGTGCGTTCACATAGCCATCTCCAAGTTTTCCCCCTCGCAGAGCTTGAAGCTCACCCCCGGTCCGTCAACGGGTAAGCGCCAGCGTGCGCCCGAGATCTTCGAGGATGCCGATTCCGAGAACGTGGACCCTCTCGTCTTTAGCAGCCCGACTAAGAAGACCAAAACCACCACCGCCATCGCTAGTGACGCCGGATTCGTCAAGCCAGCCAGCTTCCCAGCCTTCACCTCGCCTGTTAAGACCAGCACCAGCCTCACCTCCACGCCTTCCGTCTCATCTTCCCGCAAGTCCCGCTCATCGCCCAGCTCCACCAAGTCGACGCCCATCACCAACAGCCGCGGTTCTCCAAAGAACAAGCGTCTCCATGCCATTTCCAAGCGTCGCGCCTCCACCTCGCCTTTCCGACGCGTCGACCCCCCAGCCTTCACCAAGAGCAGCCCAGGACTTCCCTTCTCCATTGACGCAGCACTAAGCGGTTCCATCTCTACCTACACCCCCAAGGCCCCTAAAGTAACAGCCACGCCCGCCTCCGCCCCTGCCCAACAAGCTAGCGCACTCGACGAAACCATGCCCAAGGCCTGGTTCTTCGAGATTCACGAGGACACCCCCGAGCAGGAGGCCTCGAACCTCATGGAACACTCTGCCTCTACCCTTGACATCTCATCCGATGACGACGTCGAGACCAAGACACGTAACGAGGACCGTGGAAAGGAGAACATCCCACCCCCAGACTTCCGCGCCTCGCAGCCCCGCTCTCAGGCCGCCACTCTAGTTGAGGATGACGGCTATGAGACTGAGATTCTCGGTGATGAGCCAATTAAGCGCCGCATCGTACGCAAGTTTGTCAAGGACTCGATGGATGAGGACCGCAAGCCATTGGGCGACTTGGCGCCGAGCAACTTTTACGGCGAGGGATGCGACTCAACCTCTTACGTCACTGTCGATGCTGGTATCGAAAAGCCTTCGCGTCTGTCCAAGGAGGTTGCATTGTGTTCCGATATCGAGGAAGAGGAGTCATCAACCATCAACGGCGCATCGCCAACACGACAGCCTGTCGTCGCGGCTTCATAAAGTCTTGTTGTCATTGTTCTTTCTTCTTCATTTCTCTTCTCTTCTCTTGTTGTTGTTTAGCGCGTTTAGGATACCTCACTCGGCGTTTATTGGTACAGCCACATATTTATAGTCTACGTCTCGCAATCATGAGTACACGACTGATGGGATGCAATTGGCTTTTTGTTTTAAAAAAACGATACCTTTCTAAGTTAGTTGCCTGTTGGCCTTGAATAATCAAAACATCTTCTTCACTTCAACAGTCCAGTACTCCATGCTTGATTCATCTCTACTTGCCAAAAGAAGCATAACGTCATATCCATCAACATCACAACTTCCACCCCCTCGCCTTCGCAAGCCCAACCTCCTGTCTAACCGCCAAATCCGCAATAATCTCCTCACTCCCCCCGCCCACGACCATCATCCTCAAATCCCGACTAATCTGCTCCACCACCGCGCCCGGCCCGCCACCCTTCTGATACCCCGCGCCCCCAAATACCTGCTGCGCCTCTCTCGCCGCCAACTCGAGTATGCGCCCCCCATGCACCTTACACAGGGCAATCTGGCCCGCAATGCCCGGATCCATCCACCCTTGCTTTGCATTCTGCACATGGAACGCCAACTGCTCCAACCACGCCCAATGCGACTCTACATATCTCGCCAGCGTAGCCAGCTTACTGCGTATAATCTGGTTTTGCACAAGCGGCTTCCCGAACGTTTCTCTCTGGTGGGCGTACGCCATTGATTCGGAAAGACATGTTCTGGCTTTGCGGTTGCAGGAGACGGCGAGGATGTAGCGTTCGCGGTTGAAGTTGCGCATTATGATGGGGAAGCCAGCGTTTTCGCGGCCGAGGAGGTGCGAGGTGGGGACGACGACGTTGTCGAGTTCAACGAAGGAGGCGCCGCCGGCTTTTTGGCCGCTGTTGGGGATGCGGCGGTGGGTGATGCCGGGGGAGTTTGTGGGGATGACGATGAGGGAGAGGCCTGCTGCGCCGGGGCCGCCGGTGCGGACGGCGGTTGTCATGTGGGTTGCCCAGGGGAAGCCCGTGATCCATTTTTTGTAGCCGTTGATGGTGTAGGTGGTGCCATTGGGAGATTTGGTGGCTGTGGTTTGCAGGTTTGCGACGTCGGACTGTTTTTTTTTTGCATGCCGTCAGCTATGCCCATATATCATACCCCGATATCAATCCTCATATCACCACTGTCAACCAGAAAAAAAAAGGGTGGGGGAATAGAAGAGGAAGGGGAAGAAATGAAGGGAACATACACCACCACCCGGCTCCGTCACCCCAAGACAAAAACTCGTCTCCCACGTAAACAACCCAGGCAACCACTTCCTCTTCTGCTCCTCCGTTCCAAAATGCACCACAGGCGGCACCCCAATCACACTCGCGCCCGCCAGCGCCGTCGCCACTCCGCCCTCTACCCGACTAACCTCATCATTCATGATAAGCAAATGAAACGCATCCAGCTCTTTCACCGGTATGCCCGCTGGCCCCGGCACATTGGCTGGTCGATACGGCTCCGGAATATCTGCGAATGCGAAGCCGGTTTGGGCCCATTTGAGGCGCTCAGCTGCGGGCGCTTCGCCGGCTTCTTCCCAGGCGAGCATGTATGGTTTTACGTGCTCGTCGATATAGGTGCGCAGGGCATCGCGAAGTTTTTTGTGGGACGCGTTGTAGTAAGGGGAGGAGAGGGAGGTGTACCATGAGGGTTCGGCCCAAGGGCCTAGGTTGCCGTAGGTTTCTTGCTTAGGGGATGGCATTTTTTTGGGAAGATCGAGATGAAGTGGGCTTAGAAGTGGATTTTGGGGGAGGAGATATTTGGGTCTTTTTATCACATGGTGGGTGGGAATGTTGTTGTTGCTGATGCTGATGCTGCAGGATCGACGAGCTGAGGTTTGCCGCGGTTGATGATGCGGAGTCGCTAATTGGGGATTGCGGGGAACTATTTCAAGCAGCCGACTTGGTAAGCTGTTTATCCGCCTCTTCAGCCCTACACATAGACAGACACATGGCAGTCGGGGAACATGTGCCTGTCTACATGGTTCCTGCATATAAAATCTCTCCTGAACCAATGTATTCGGACGACTTTCATTTCGCACGTTAGCTCACATATCGCATAACAGCAGACAACATGGGTGAACAAGATTCATGGAACCTGCGAAGCTTATTGACATTTCCAAATTAAATACATGAAATCATAGCTTCCGGCATGTGGTGGGATATTATTGTATTCATTCCTTCGTGTCCTCGTCCAGGAGCGACACGTTTACCTGACGCAGTAACCACCGTCAATGAGGAGGTCAGAGCCCTATCAACTGATTAGCGATTGAATACCAAAATTAATAGGGTAAAAACTTACAGTGCAGTACGATGAAGCATCAGAGGCAAAGTAGACGTAGGCGCCCTTGAGCTCGGTGGCCTTGGCGTCACGGCCCATGGGGATCATAGAGTGCCACAGCTTCTGGATGTCCTGGGGAACAAAGTCGGACAGACCAGTGTCAATATATCCAGGGGAGATGGAGTTGACACGGGCAAAGTCCCTCCACTCGTTGGCAAGCGACTTGGCCATGTGTATGCAGCCAGCCTTTGCGACGTTGTATGAGGTTTGCTCTTGAGGGAAGTTGGCAATGTGGCCAGACATGGATGAGGTGATGATGAGGGAGCCAGTCTTGCGCTCACGGAAGTGCAGACCAACGGCACGGGCGCAGTTGAAGGTACCAGTTAGGTCAGTCTCGACAACCTCGTTCCACTGCTCAACAGTGGCGTCGAGGATACCGTTGTCGGCAGTCTTGCCGGCGTTGGCAATGAAGACATCGACCTTGCCAAAGTCCTTGATGACGTCCTGGACGAGCTTCTCGCACTGGGCGTACTCGTTGACCTGGCACTTGTAGGCCTTGACCTTGACGCCATACTTCTCGCTCATCTCCTTTGCATTCTTCTCGGCACCCTCGGCGCGAGAGTTGTAGGTGATGGCGAGGTCAGCGCCAAACTCGGCGCATCCGCGGGCAGCCTCTGTGCCAATACCGGTAGGGCCAGAGGCACCAGTGACGACGACGACCTTGCCCTTGAGGCTGAAGAGGTCCTTGAGCTCGGTTGCTTGGGGAACGGGAATCATTGTGGCGGTGGGGTTGATTGGATGAAGAGGAAGAAGAAGAAGACTCAAGTGTTGGCAAGGTGCAATTGAAGCTGAGAGTATGAGGATGAAGAGAGCAATTGAGGGGCACCGAGGGGTTCAAGTAGTGTTTGGCTGGACGACATGATTGCGAGGCTCGGGTTAGTGGTTAGTGAGGGGCGCTGGGTCCAGAGTGACGTGTAGCTCGATTCAATAGTGGCGCGACGTCATGCTTCCGGGGATGATTCGCCAATGGATCCGTACTGTGGATGTTCTGGGTTTACGGCGTTCGGCTGGGATGCTAGCTGGTGATGGTGGGGGTGGTGGGTTGGTTCGGACAGACGTGACGTTAGCGTGGCCGTCTGCTAGTGTTAGCCCGCCCTGTGTTCCTGGGCCTATCTGGCGTCTTTGGCCGATGCAGAGGGTGCATGCAAGGCCGTCTGCATTGGACATGGCTGCAGTTCATCTTGGTTTGCATGTCACTGTGCCATGGCGCCACTCGAGAAACAGGCGTTGTCGTCTACCATGTCCCAGGCATGTGTCTCCGAGGACCCCGCTATCAGTGGCATGGCATGCACTGTCAGCGATTACCATGTTGACAAAGACCGTTATGTATCCGACTAACATTTGACAAATCGGGCTGTGCCTAGTATTCTGGGTACACGGCGTGTGTGCAGTCAGGGTTACTCAGCTCTTTCTCTGTTAGTCTAGGTAATGTGTGTATGTAATGGAGGGTGCCGGTGTGCCTGCGCGATGCTCGATGCTCGATGCTCATCGGAGAACTCTGATGGACCCTGCATGTGTAGCAGCACACGAACAAGGAAGAGGGCCGAAAATCTTTGCGCGTGTGCAAAACCTTCAGGCTAGGTATACGATGCGGATCCGGACATGCGTGTAAGTGCCAGGTGTCGACGCAGAGCATCAGCGATCCGGTGTGTAATGCTCTCCAAGCATGCTTCTAGATGGTGGCCGGCGGGGTCAAAAAGGCATGGTACTATTGTACTAAGTACTACTACTACTACTAGTAGCGCTTCTCCCTCGTCGCCCGCCCAAGGTCAGCGGCTCCTTGTTTCTCCGGCACCGCTCAGGCACAGCACGTGACGCCCTGTTTTGTGCCGGCCGCGACAATGCATCATCGTCGTGATAGCTCGTCCGGGCGTGTTTGGCGCAGCGAGTCATGTTGCAATTCGATTCTGCTGTCGCGACTCTGGTTGCGACTGTCTGGAGCAAAGCCCGACCCGATTAGCCAAGCAGCTGCCACAGGGCCTGATGCGCCCCTCTGATTCGCAGCCATGAGAGAGCTCTCGCCATCCTTTTGCTCTCCTGCGTCACCCTGCCACCCTGCCACCCTGCCCCTCCCGCCCAGTTGACCGCAGGCTGCTTGTTCCACGACTCTCCTCCAACACGTCGCAGCATATAAACCCACACCACGCCCGCGCCCCGCAGCAATGGTCCAAAACGCCCTCTTGCCCAAGCCCATCCCCGCCGATGCCGTCACCGTCGGCCAGCTGCTCACGGACCCCGTCCATCCAGAGCGTGACTCTTTCTACCCCGACAAGGCCCACTCGGCAGTCGATGACTTGAACGACTTCCACATCCAGCTCCGCTACAAGGACCTCTACTCAGTCGACACCGAGGGCCGTTTTATGACAAACTATGGCGCCAAATTCGATCTCGGCCGGATATACAGACAGCCCAACCTGCTCACTGTCAAGGCCGAGCAGATGGTCCAATGCACCACCCAGAGCCCTACAAGGGCCTTTGAGGCCGTGTGCAGCGATGCCGATGCCCGCGCCTGGATGGCTGAACAAATCCAAGCAGGAAAGCCGCTGTACATTGTTCTTGGATTGACCGAACTCAAGAATGCCAGCTTCAAGCGAGCTAAGCTCCGTGACGCCGGCGCCTCCAACCGCCTCAATGAGTTGCCTCTTGAAAAAGACGCCAAGGTCCCCCCTTCTCTGCGGGGAAGATCTGGCGCTAGCTTGGGGGCAATTGGCACCGAGCCCTTGATATCAGGCGTCTTCGGCATGGACGTGAGGCGTATTGTCGCCAGACTCACCACCCCCGCAGAGCCACATCGCTTGGAGGATATTGGTTACCGATGGTCCTACTACGACGTCCCGGGCTCCGCCAACAAGGAGCAATTGGCAGTTGGTCTAGGTCAGTCGCTCAAGGCCAATGAACTGCGCCTCATGCTCGACCTCAGCAAAGAGGACGTCCAGGATAATCTCGATGCCATAAGCAAGCTCAGTCTCGATGCACTAAGCGCTACGGCTAGTCCTATGCTCAAGCCTAGCACTCCCATGCTACGCGGACGATCGCCTTCCCCGCACCCCGCTATGCTCCGCTCATAGCATCACCCGACCAACATGTACCCCGCAACGAGCCGTGTCTGATGGTGTCGAGTTTACGTCTTTGTTGGAAAATTAGATTTTGATGGGTGTTCTTGCCGTGAACCATGACCCTTACGACCTGGCATCTTTTCTTATGTAATAATCATATAACTACGCATAAAGTCCATTTTTGCTGGCCTCTTCGCATGTCAGTGAATACATTTCATGTTTTTGTTACACAGTCTTCTGCAGTGAATCAGAATTTGCTCACTTCACACGTCTGCCGTTTCCATGATCACTCTGACTAGTATGAGATGTAACATTAAGGAAGCACACTTGCTACTGCCCTTACACATGCATATTAACTATGTATGATCATCTTGTAATTCCCATAGGATTATTTAGAGATAACAACTGCAAAAGGAAAGGCTATTCCTTGTTTCCTATAGAGCGTGTTCTGCAGGTGTAGTTGTAAATAAAGGTCACCATGAAAGTAGGTGATAGACGCGCAGTCAGGCTAGACGCGGGAAAGGCGCGCTAGCGGCTACAGGGGCTCGGTAGCGTAAATAACGCACCCCCGTTTTGCATGAACTACACAACTTACCATCATCACATGATTTATTGCTTTAGTTGGTTCGACTACTTCACTCGCTTTCGCTTGCTTGATTCCGGTTTGTGCGTGAGAGAGATAGGGAAAGCTGTCTGCATGTAGAGGGCAGAGAGTGCTCTACATTTCGTGTAAGTCACAATCGCCGTTGGTCTTTTATGAAACAAAAGAAAGCCAGCCTTACTTGAATGCAGTTATTCAAGTTGTTTTTACTTCTTTGCGCACAGATTGAGTTGATAGCGTAGCTCGAAAAGGAGGTGTAGGAGAACCGCAACACAAAGCGGATACGTTGCAGTATCCTTGAAACAAGAGTAGGTAACTTCCCCCCGTCGATATACCATCTTCAATATCACTAGCAATGGACACTTCAAACATGTCCTTTGAGGCAAAGATTGCCATGGCATTGGGAGGATCTAGTTGGCAGAGTCTACAGAACAGTAACACTGCGGATCCCGTTGCTGCAGCCGGACAGGCAGCACATGCGGATGAAGAGTATCAAGACGATGACGATGAAGACATGGATGGCGGAAACGGAATTCCCATAGTGGACGGGCCTGCCGATACAGTCGCAGCCCAAGAGCTGGAAGTCGATGAGGAGCTACTCAAGAAACGCAAGAAAAGACTGGAGCGGTTTGAAAAGGTCATTGCCAAAGATGCTGGAGAAGTGGTCGAGATAATTGAACTTGACTCGCTCATACCCATCTCACAAAAGGTGTCATGGGACCAAGATCCAGAGATTCTCTGTTGCTACAACTGGCAAGCCTCTACAGATGGCACCAACACTATCTTTGGTGCGTAACACCCAACATTGTTTATTAAAATACTCACGTTTACCCTTCAGTCCCGGGTGAGCCAGCAAAATGGCAGCAGCCAGCTCTGCCACATCATTTAAAGCGAGACAGCGGTTTCCAATACCAAGATTACAACTATGCACGAAAACCGAAAAATCCTTATTCTCCCATGTTCCAGGCACTCAGCGTTATGAATCCAGGCGTTACATTTCACGATGTTGATATTCTGGCCGATCGCAACAATCTCCGCGTGTTGCTCGAATTCGCCCAGGGCAAAGCCAATGGGCCATTTCGATTAAACATATACCTGGTCTTCAACACTTTAGTCATTGTGCGCCGCGAGTCACGCTGGTGGAAACTCTCAGACGGCCATAGCTATGGCATCAATTTCGAGCGAGACTTTACAACGACAACAGACGACATGTGCGACGCAACAAGCCACTACCGCGCCATCCGTTACAAAATGGGCCCGCTGAACGTCGTCTGCCGCTTCGAAGCCGACGCCTACGACGATGGTATGGGAAACGACAACCTCACAGAATCCGAGGTCGCAGCCACAACCGGCAACGGTGCAGGTCCAACCACCAGACCCACCTTCAACTATTCCGCTCCCGTCCGTGTGCTCCAAAAAGGCCATATCGTCCCCACCGCGCAAATGGTCGAGCTAAAAACACAAGCCTACCACCCTGAAAGCAGTGCTTTAGTACAATGCCAAGACCAGCTCTGGTTCGGCCGCACATCCCTCTTATTCACCGCCCCCTACGATAAAGAAACTGGTCGTGTCCAGCGCGTGAAGAAGGAAGACGCCACAGAGCGCGTAGCGAGGTGGGAACAAGCGCAGCAGGAAGCCCTCCAGAAACTCGTTGCGCTACTCGTTCGCATCCGCGCTGTGCTAGTACGCGAACGCAGACCGAATCGCGCAGTTGTCCTCGTGCGTGAAGCAAAAGGTGGACCGCTGGCGCTACGTACGATGGAGGAGAGAAGCTATGCCGTGGATAGGGATACAATGGAAATCTTCTGGCCACCGCGAGCTCATTCGTTTGGCGGGCATCGCGGGCGCGGCGGCTACGACCGTGGTAGGGGCTCTTTTCAAGGTTCGCGTGGCCGTGGGCAGGGTGGACCTGGTGGCAGAGGTAATTTTCACCCACCTCCTTTTCATGGCCGCGGTCAGTATCCCCCTCCGCCGCCTGGTTGGGTCCCGCCATATAACAATGCTGTTCGAGGCCGCGGCCAAGGCCAGTTTCATGGCAGCGCTTCGTCGGGTCCGGCCTATCATGATGACCGTAGGACGGATGGAGGACAAGGGCGGGGAGTGGGGAGAGCGAGACATACTGGTCGTGGTCAGGGTTCTGCGTATCCTTATTGAGGACATACGGTATGTGTCATCTTTGATGTGAGAATTTCCTTCAGCATGTCCACGTTTCGAAATCTTTGCATCTTTATAGATTTGGTGGAAGGATGTGGAGCTGGATAAGAGTACGATGGATGGATTTGAGGCTTGTTTTGCAACTGCGATGTGTGGAGTTATATCTGGGATTGTCCGGGCGTTATAGACGAGAAGCTGGAGTCATACTCGAATAATGATTCTGTTTCAAATCCAGTCATCTAGAGAAGGTTGTATTTCATGAAAGTCAAAAAAAAAACGATTACTACGCCCAAGATCATCAAATCATTCAATACCAGAAACAAAAGAACCCCCCCTCCTTCCAACACTGCCTCCTCAAACCTGAAACCCCTTCCCATAAGCAGTCGTAGCATTCAATCTCTCCAAAATATACTCCCCCGCCCTAATCGGCCTCCACCTCGGCACCTCCCCCTCCCCCACACACCCCGGCAACGTCTCAACAACAGCATCATAATTAACCGAAAAGAAAAACGGCACACTATACCTCTCCTCTCTCGTCCTATTAACCACTCTATGCACCGTACTCTTATACATGCCATTCGTCCACCTCATCAAAAAGTCCGCAACATTGACTATGAGGGTGTCGGGGAGGTACGGAGCGATGTACCAAGAACCACTTGGCTTGAGGATTTCGAGACCGGGGGTGCAGGAGGGGAGGAGCAGGGTGAAGCATTCGTAGTCGGAGTGGGCGCCTAGGCCGATTTGAGAGTCTGGAGATGTGGGGGTAAGGGAGAGGGAGGAAGGAGGAGGGTAGTAGAGGAGGCGGGCGATGCCGCCGGGGTGCGTGGTTAGGGGGTCGAAGTGGGTTTCTGGGAGGGAGAGGGAGAGGGCGAAGAGGCGGAAGAGGTGGCGGGATAGGTTTAGGACCTATGGGGTATATGTTAGTGGTGGTAGTGGTAGGGTTTGTAAGGGGGAGGGTTAGAACGAACATTGCCGTAGTATTCTTTTATTTCGGCGTAGAATCCGGGTAAATCTTCTTCTTTTGGCCACATGTTTGCGTTACCAGTTGATCCATCGAGATTTTTGTATTGGCCGTCGCCGCCGGTGGGATCGAGGTTGGCTTCGTATGCGAAGTTGAAGACTTCCTTTTCTTCCTTGTCGCCGGCGATGGATGTATACTCGCTGGGCTCCCAGCCTAATCCGAATTTATTGTTCTTCAAATGCAACTCTTCTTTCTTTTCAAGTGGCAGCTCTTTCATGAAACGCTCGGCTTGGTGCAAGATGCCGTCGCAAGCCGACTTTGGGATTCGGTGGTTGGTAATGTAGAAGAAGCCGGATGTTGTGCATGCTTTGCGTATTTGGTCTGCGACTTTCTGGCGGTCGGAAAGGGAGTCAGAGAATGAGGGTTCGAGATCGATGACTGGTATTTCAAAGTCTTTGTCTGCTTCTTCGTTTTTTGCTGAGAGCCGTGATTGCAGATATGCAGCTGCTCCGTTGTGTGCTTCTTCGTAAGTTGTTCGGTCCGTTTCTGAGGGCCCTGGACACATGATGGATGGTAGATGAAACAGTTAGACTTGGCGTTAGGTTTAGAGTGCTCTTCAGTAAGCCTAAAAAGGAAGGTTCAAGATTGAGTCTAAGGGTACTAGTAGACTGGTTGTAAATACTGTGTTATTCACAGAGAGGGATCTGGATGGAACCACTTGGGCGATTCGTGAACCTATATGTTGGACGGTGGCCAATGACAAGCCTTGATGATCGTTCACTGCCACAGTCTCCAAAGCTTACAGTATCACAGTGTGGAGTAATACAGCTGATAACAGGGTGCCAGACTTGGAGTCGAAATGTGGGGTACCGGTATCGGCGATTGATCGGATCTAAGACTCGTTTGCACACGCCAACATCCATAGTACATATACTAGTCCCCCCTCACATGCAACGAGAAATCTGTTAACACCCCGCATCCTACTCATGGCTACCTCTTCGAATACTACCATTCTTAAAAATGGACGCTGCTTCAATGCTGGCGCGTCTGAGCAACAAGCTCTCTCCAATTCGACAATAATCATCCAAGATGATAAGATCACCTTTATTGGTAGCCCAGATGCAAAGGAAGTCCAATCACACCTTGATGCTGGCGCAACCGTTCATGATCTTGGCGAAAAACATGTTCTGGCCGGCTTCATTGATGCCCACATGCATTTTCTCATGCTAGGTCAATCGCTGGACAAGGTTGAACTGGACGATGCCAAGGATCTGGAAGATATCCGGCGGCGTATTTCAAAGTACGCAAAAGCCAACCCAGATAAACCGCGCATCCTGTGCAAAGGATGGATGCAAGCGGCGACCGACAATCTGGCCAAAGCTAGCATGTTGGATGATTTGGACCCGAGACCGATATATATCGACGCCAAGGATTTGCATTCGTGCTGGTGCAATAGTGCAGCGTTGAGAGAGATGGGCGTTCAGGATATGGAGAACCCTGCAGGTGGCACAATCGAACGAGATGAGCAGGGAAATGCGACGGGTCTCTTGAGCGAAGCATGTGTAATATTGATTGTGTGGCCATATCTTGCAAAAGTCACGCCACTGGTCAATAAAATGGCCGCTTTGAAGGCTGCAATCAACGCATACCATGCGGCTGGGGTTACGGGATGCATCGACATGGCCATGGAAGAGCCCGCCTGGGAGACCATACTTGCATTAAAGGCTGCTGAGGGACTGCCGCTTCGATTTGCAGCGCATTGGTGCATTCTGCCTGGCGAAGGCGAGGAGCATCGACTGCGACAGGTCGATCGAGCTATCAAACTGAGCCAGGAATACAACAGTGAAACCAGCCCGGATCTGAAAATTGTTGGCATCAAGATCATCTGCGATGGCGTCATTGATGCGTGTACTGCTGCGCTGTCAGAACCGTATACCTCAAATGGACATTTCGAAGGCCCAATCTGGACCCCTGAAATGTTAGAACCCGTTGTCAAGCGAGCCACCGAACACGGACTGCAGTGTGCGTTGCATGCAATCGGAGATCAAGCCATTCACAATGCTGTCGAAGTTCTGGGAAAGTATGGCAAGCCCGGTCAGCGACATCGCATCGAGCATCTCGAGCTCACTGCGCCCGAAGATGCGAAGCGGCTTGGTGAACTGGGCATCACGGCGAGCATCCAACCTGTCCACTCTGATCCGGCCATCCTCCGTGCTTGGCCAAAGCTATTAGGCCCTGAGCGTGTGAAGCGGGCTTTCGCGTATTCCGAGTTTGCGCATCATGGGGCGACTCTGGCGATAGGCTCTGACACACCTACTGCACCATATGCGCCACTCTCCAACCTATACATTGCAACAACTCGCAAGTCGGCTCGCCAAGGAGATGAAGAAGACGCACCCGTCAACGAGCATTTCAAGCTCGAGTTGGCACAAGCGGTGACTGCAGCCACTCAAGGCGCAGCATACTCATTTTTCGCCGAAGACCGTGTGGGCAGCCTAGAGGTCGGCAAAATGGCTGATTTGTGTGTGGTAGATATGGAATGGAAAGGAGAGGAGCTGCTCAAGGCCAGAGTAGCTGAGACCTGGTTTGGAGGAAAGCGTGTGTATGCAGCAGCATAATTGCATGACCAGCAGAGATGGAATGAGAAAGTACAACCTGTATCATGGCAATCCCACAGCCGACGGCTCGTTGTCGTTCCCGAGAGATGATGCTTCGCATAAATTACAAGATGATAAGAATTGCTTTGCTATGAGTCTTGTCTCTCTTGGCCAGGCCTTCCTTCTTGTTCCAACGGCAGTTATGTGCAGATGACATGCATTTCTTGATACCGTTTCGTGAACTGGATTTTCACCAGCAATTGCTACAAGGCCCTCTGATACGCTCCACGTGGGCGTCGCTGGTATCTCGGCGGCAGCTCAGCGAATCTTTATCGCCGTGTGGTTGAGGTGCAGCATATGACAGGGCGTGTTAGAAGTGTCATCCATGTATCAGCGATGGCCCCAAAACCTCAGATCCAGCGCCGCGACACTCCGCGTTTCAGCGCCTCGACTCTACTTACCAAAACCACTATGTGACGTAGAGAGCGGAACAACGCTCCGCGTGTTTCCTGTCTAATTCTTCTCGCTAGAGACGGTGCCAATTTCCGCTGTAGGCAAAATGTCTGTTGCAAGGCATCCTGGGCCGGGGTGGTTTCTATCATCGTGGCTTAGACGTGCGGAAGATGAGCCCACAGGAGCCCGCGAGCCAAGGCACGAGTTTAGAACGTTTCGCAAGCCGACCAGTATCGTGATGTAGACGGGTAGACGCGTGCAGATATATTGGTTGATGGTCGCGTCCCATGGCCCACAGCCCAGTTCGTTCATTCACTCTACATTTACATCGTCATCTGTTGTCGTCTATTAGCACTCGTTTCAATTGAACAATTCCTACACACATATCAAACCAGCCAACATGTTGACAAACCGCCGATCGACCATGATGGTCCCACCAAACCGGTTGCCAAGTTGGCACCCTCACTCAAAAGTCGCGGCACCACAAGTCGCGTCTCCAGCACCTCTCACATCAGAAGCCGAAGCACCTCAAAGTCGCACTCAGGCTCTCCTTACATCGACATCGCCAACATTGGCCGGCTACCGCATCATTAGCGCCATCGGCGCAGTACACGGCACCACATCGGTGACGCGCAAAGACACAAAATCTTTCATCAAGAACATTGCCTCCAACTTCAGCAGTAGCTGGGGAGAGCCGAAGACGATAACGAGCATCATATACCAAGCCCGCGACCAGGCAATTGAGAGGCTTATCAACGAAGCAATGAACAAGGGCGCCAATGCTGTGGTGGGACTGGAAATCAGGGAAAGCGAGGTACTTGGATGTATCGTCGTCAGTGTGAGCGGCACAGCAGCGTACGTTGAGAAGGAGAGTGCGACAAAGCGAGACAGTGCACAAGACGCGAACCCATTCCGATGACGATATACCCATGTCATGGAAGGATGGCAATGGTAATCTGCGAAGGACATGGTGTTTTTTTTTCTCTAAGAATTAATTGTGAATACGGGTATTTGGGGTTTGCGCATTGGCGTTTGGATTTAGTGGATACCTGGGGTAAATCCAACATTGCACGCACTTTGACAGTGTGTCGTCTCATGAGTTCATGTCCTCTTCACATGCGCGACAATTGCTGTTGTAGCCCTTCTTTTACTGTACAAAGGATCTCAAATGCTTACGCAATGGCGCCGTCGCTACCACGACTTTTGGTACGAGAGGCCTTTTTTTTCCTTCGGTTACGGACCATGTTGCCCCGAACAAGTCGCAACGTTTGGGTATAGCAGGTCTTCCTAAGCTCAAAGCAAAGAGGAGGTTTCTCGGCGCCAAACCTTCTTGAGCACTCGGCAACGGTCTTATGGCTAGCACTAAAGAAGCATTTTAACCGGCGATGGTCAGGCCAACGGGGCGGAGGAGGAGGAGGAGAAACCCCAGCTCTTGTTCCCCAGTTTCTCTCCGCCTGTGGTAGCCTCGGCATGTGGAGAGACCCTTGCCCATGCCCATGCCCATGCTCTTCTTACTTACATACACACAGCACTACATCCATCGAACCCATGTCCAGTCGCCTGTTCTTGTCAACCTAGCATTGCGCACATTGCACGTCGTGGAAGACATTGGTGTATACTGCCAGCCAAGAAGGGCGGCGCCGGGTCACGTCACTCAAGAGGGGGCGTTGCATCCGCCGACATGGATCGCCAGGAACTAGCACTCGACTTCATCCATTTCTTCCGTTCGCGAGCCCTCAGATCCTCCAATAACCACCGGCCAATTTTCCAGCCGCTCGTGCATACACGCCATGGAGCCGGAAAATGTCATGACGACTGGAATGTACACCAAGGCCGCCATGAAGATCTGCCTACATTCATCCTGTCGCCAAGGGCTAGCGTCCCTAACCACGCCCGTCTTCCGGGAAATGGTCAGTTGCCCGCGTCTTTGGCGACCGACTATAAGATGAAGACGCTGCTGCAGTCGAAATTCTCTACTGTCACGGCCAGCAATCTGCCAGTCTTCTGATCGCCAAGATGGTGCTTCTCAAGGCCTTCGTAGCAGCTGCTTGCGCTACTACTGCGCTCGCGGCAGACATTGTCGTGCATTCCTCTGGTGGCAACCAGACTGGCAAGCATGGACATCCGTATGGATATGGCTTCCTCCACGAGGTATTTTGCTTGAATCTCAATTCCCATGGCCCATGCTAATTGATGCTCCAGGACATCAACAACTCTGGTGATGGTGGTATCTACGCTGAATTGATTCAAAACCGTGCCTTTCAATTCAGCAAGAACTACAGCGTATCCACCGCCCACTACTTCCCCATCAACAATGCCGGCCTCAGCATTCAGTTCTTGGACCAGCCGCTCTCCAAGCAGCTCCCAGCCTCGATGCGAGTATCAGTTGGCAATGGTACTTCCGGCGCTGGTGTAATCGGTTTCAAGAACGACGGTTACTGGGGTATGGACGTCCGTCCACAGACCTACACTGGATCCTTCTGGGTCAAGGGAGCATACGACGGTATCTTTACCGCATCCCTTCAATCCAACCTCACAGACGAAGTATTTGGCTCCGTCGAAATCCCCTCCAAGTGTGTTGAGGACGACTGGACCGAGCACACTTTTGAGCTCGTCCCAGAAAAGGCTGCTCCAAACTCCAACAACACTCTCGCCATCACTTTTGACGGTGCTGCAGCACGCGCACTCGACTTCAACCTCATCTCCCTTTTCCCGCCTACCTACAAGGGCCGCAAGAATGGTCTTCGTATCGATCTTGCAGAAGCTCTTGCCGACATGAACCCCCACTTCCTTCGTTTCCCCGGTGGCAACATGCTCGAGGGTCTCCGAAACGACTCTTGGTGGGACTGGAAGGATTCTCTCGGTCCTCTCCGCTACCGTCCTGGTTTCCAGGGTGTATGGGGATACCAACAGACCCACGGTCTCGGTCTTATGGAGTATCTTGAGTGGGCAGAGGATATGGATCTCCAGATTGTTCTGGGTGTCTGGGCCGGTCTTGCTCTTGACGGTGGTATTACTCCCCAGCAAGATCTCGATGCCTACATTGAAGACGCACTCAACGAGATTGAATTCGTTACTGGACCCGCAAACTCTACCTGGGGTGCCCGCCGCGCTGAGCTTGGCCACCCCGAGCCTTTTGAGCTCAACTACGTTGAAGTCGGCAACGAGGACTGGCTTGCTGGTTTCCCTGGCGGTTGGGAATCCTACCGCGCCTACCGTTTCCCCATGTTCTACAACGCCATCCGCAAGGCGTACCCCCACATGACCGTCATCTCCTCCGCTGCGTCCAGCGACCCCGGCGGCACACCTCCTCTCTACGGCCCCAACAAGAAGAACGGCCAGATCCTTCCCTTGGATGCTCTCGGCGACTACCACCCCTACCGCGAGCCCGACGAGCTCGTCTACGAATTCAACCGCTTCGACAACGACGCCGGCCACATCGTCGGCGAAGTCGCCGCCACGCACGTCAACGGTGGCATCCGCTGGGAAGGCAGCTTGTACCCCTTCCCCTGGTGGATCGGCGCCGTCGGCGAAGCCGTCTCCCTCATCGGCTACGAACGCAACTCTGACCGCATCCCCGGCACTTTCTACGCCCCCGTCATGAAGAACAACAACCGCTTCCAGTGGCCCATCACCCTCCTCCAGTACGACGCCGATCCCAAACGCACCACCAAAGCCGTGACCTGGTACTGCTGGAGCCTGTTCGCTCACCACCCCATCTCCCACACCCTGCCTACATCCTCCAACACCTCCTACGGCCCGCTCTACTGGGGCGCCGGCATGGACGAGAACCGTGGCGGCGCACGCGTCTGGAAGGGCGCAGTGTTCAACACTACCAACAGCGTTGACGTACCTGTTTCCGTCCATTTTGACGGCATTCCCGCGGGTGCCAAGGCAAATCTTACACTTCTTACTAACTCGGTTGGCGATCCGTACATGTACAATGATCCATTTACCGGCGTTAACATTGTGAACACTACCAATGTTATCCTCACCGCTGAGGGTGATGGCGTGTTCCGCTTTGTCATGCCCGAACTTAGTGTTGCGGTGCTGGATACGGATGTTGGTGGTGGTAATGCTACAGTCAAGTCTCGTAGGCGCTTGTCGTAGTTTTATACAACCTTGCTGGGGTTCTTTTTTTCCCCAACCTTTGATGAAGATAATGAAATAAAATAATATTTTTGCTCCACAATTCTTGGTCTGAGATGATGTGATATTTGACATGATAGAAGTTTAACAACTGAGTGTCTAATCTACACTCCTCGCTTGCATGTCCTTTTCCCGAGCGTTTGGTTACTATCTCTTGATGCCATGCAAGTTAGATTAAGCTGTATGCAATACAGCTTCCAATCAGATCTTGAATTGAAAAGATACTTATTGCCGAGCAAAAAAAGATACATTCGAGTAGCAAGTCATCGATGTGACTCGCGCCCATAACCCCCACATGAGATGAATGTTGAGACAGTCGTCTAGACGGAAAAGTGGTGAATTAAAGTACAATATCATTCAATCAGGTACTCTAAGGGTCTTTAAATGATACAGTCTTGGAGACAAAAAGAAAGTCCAATAAGCAACCGACCTCGTCGTTCTACCAAGGCAGAACCAATAGCCACCACTCGCTTCGAGTCCTGCGTCCGCTTTCAAACCCAATATGAGCACGGTATACTCCAAATAGCATAGCAATTGCCCTTTTAGCACACTCCTGAAGCTCTGGACGAATAAGATGCGTGCCTTTGGTGCTGATGTGACCTGACCATCGAGGTGCTCAATTGGTCCAGCGCACAACGACGAAGAGGCAGATACAAAAACCATTTTCACAAAGATTCAGTAACTCAAAATCCCTCAAACTCTCTTGAGAATCCAAAAAGGAAAACTCAATGTCACCAGCAAAGCGCAGAAAGACGGGCGGTGCGGACATGAAGCCAAAGAACAAGGCCAGTGAACGAAAGCCACTCCCTGTCACTATTCTCTCTGGCTTTCTTGTAAGTGTCTTTCATGAAGGAGTTTGAATCATACTTACAGTATACAGGGTAGCGGAAAGACGACCCTACTACGACATATTCTCAAGTCACCAGACCATGGACTGCGCATCGCCGTCATCGTGAATGACATGGCATCTGTCAACGTCGATGCCAACATCATCAGCCGATCCAGCAACAAGCCGAATAGCAACGGCGAGGTACGCGTCAAGGAGAAGATGATACAGATGGAGAATGGTTGCATTTGCTGCACGCTCCGAAGCGATTTGCTGGTCGAGCTGGCCCGCCTTGCGTGGAGTGATCAGGGTTTCGATCATGTTGTGATTGAGAGTTCGGGTATTAGTGAGCCTCAGCAGGTTGCTGAGACGTTTACTACTGAGTTGACTGAGGCTATGCTTGATGCGGAGGGGTTGGAGCCAGATGAGAAGGAGGTGTTTAACAAAGTGTGGGTAGCTGAGCTGACCGTCATACCTTAACCTGCTAACTCAAAGTGAAGTGCAAAGATCGGTGGATTGAAGACAATTGCGACTGTTGATACCATGGTCACCGTCGTAGATGCCTTCCGCTTCTTCTCTGAGTTCGACACTGCAGAGTTCCTGCAGGACCGCTTCGGGAGAGAGGAGGTGCCTGACGAGGATCAACGGACCATCTCTGATCTCTTCGCTGATCAAATTGAGTTCGCTAATGTCATCATTGTCAATAAGATTGACAGGGCTGATGCTGCAACTCTGGGCCGCGTCAAGGCCTACATCAAGTCGCTTAACCCGAACGCCAAGCTTATTGAAGCTAGGTACTCAAAGGTGGATGTCCGTGAGATGCTGAATACTGGTGTCTTTAACTTCGGTGAAGCAGTTGCAAGTGCTGGATGGCTGAAAAGCTTGCACGAGATGACTGTGATGGATGTCCATGGCAAGAAGCGTGTTGCGCCGAAACCAGAAACACTAGAGTGAGTTGATCCCCAGGGAAATTTGAATTTTTGCTCACCTGTTTTTGAAGATATGGAATCGGGTCTTTCGTGTACCGCGCTCGTAGGCCATTTGATCCTTTGAAGCTTTACCGATTGATTGAGGGCAAGTTCATTCTCCTACAAGATGAAGCAGAAGATGTGGATGATGAAGAGGACGAAGAAGAAGACGATGGTAATGATGGATCATCTGAATCCGGCAAAGCCAGCACCTCTGGCGATGATTCCGACCAGGAAAGCAATGATGAGGATACTCCTCCAATTGATGATAAGCAGATTCTGGAGAACAAAAGAACCAGCCCTTACTTCGCTGGTCTTCACCGTAGCAAAGGCATCTTTTGGCTGGCAACTCGCCCTAACCAAATGGGTTCATGGAGCACCGCCGGCGCAATGCTGACACTCGGATCCGAGATGCCTTGGTTCTGCTGCGTTTCTGAGGAAGACTGGGGTGCTGATGAAGCTACCTTGAAGGCTATCAAGAACGACTTTGAAGGCAAGTGGGGAGATCGTCGCCAGGAGATGGTTTTCATTGGCGAGAAGCTCGATGTGAATGCGATGACCAAGGCGCTCGACTTGTGCTTGCTCAGTCGCAGTGAGATGAAGAAATGGGAAAAAGTCATGCTCGACAAGAAGCTAGATGATGATGAAAAGGAAGAGATTCTGCAGGAAATGTGGGACGACGGCTACTGGGCCGAGTGGCCGCGGGTACAGGACGAGGAGGAGCATTCTCATGATCATTCTCATGACCATGGCCGCCATCAACATGGCCAGAAGCACTGAATTCTCAATGCGTTGACCTGTAAGGTAGTAATGGTGGCTTGTTACGCAGAGAGGGGTTCAGGGCGGGATGCCACCCGTGACGTAATTCACGTTAGTTTCGGTGCTCGGTGCTTCTAGCCATGCCTCCATTCGTCGTAGATTCAACCAAGCATCCTTGACCAACCTCTCAATTTTGACTCTGCAATACCAACAAAAAGGCGATGAGCTGACAGCTCATAGCGTAGGTAATGAGGCGGGTTGCTAATGATTGAGGCTGCTCGACTCCAACTTCTTTTGCTCAAAAGGGTTGAAGTATCCCATCCCTCTATTCAGGTGGTGATCGTGCAGCTGACACGAAGTGCCCGCAGCACCAATTCTCAAGCAACATGGGGTCTGTGTCCCGCGCTGGAAAGGTTACGCGTCTTACTCAGCGGGGTAATGTGATGTCTGGAAATCATCTCAAATACAAATTCACAACCTCAACTCTATAAATATTTTCTACAAACAAAGATTTTGGCAGCCTTTTCAGATGTTCGATCCAGTGTCGAAGTTACTACGCATCAACCTCGCGTTGTTTGGGGGACGCTTCCTATCTTCCCCAGGCGAACAAATTGGCCGTCTTCCTGCCATGGGATGGAGCTCCTGGAACGTGTACCGATGCGACATCAACGAGAAACTCTTTGTGGAGGTGGGAAATCTTATGGTCTCCCTTGGCCTGAAGGATGTCGGCTACAGCTATGTCAACATTGATGACTGCTGGAGTGATAAAGATTATCAGCGTGATGATGTCACTGGGAAGATCAGACCAGACTACAACAAGTTTCCCAAGGGCATCAAGCATACAGCTGATGAGATCCACAAGCTTGGATTGAGATTCGGAATTTATAGTGACTCGGGAACATTGACATGTGCCGGATATGCCGGCTCTCTGGGAAACGAGAGACTAGATGCAGAGACGTTCGCAGAATGGGGTGTTGATTGTAGGTGCGACACGGAAAGTCAGAAACATAACTAACAGCAAGCAGACTTGAAGTATGACAACTGTTTTGTCCCTCAGAAATGGCAGGATAGATACCGATGGAGTCCAGATGACTGGGTGGCTGATCCTCCTGACGAAAAAAGAGCAGGTGATGACGCCGAAACCGAAGTAATTGAAGCACCGGATGGGTACGATTGGAGGTCCTCCAAAACCTTTGCTCGCTACAAAAGGATGGGAGACGCATTGCTCGCTACCAACCGCCCCATACAGTTCTCTCAATGCGCATGGGGCAATGCCCATATTGATCAATGGGGCAACGAGACTGGCCACAGTTGGCGAATGTGGGGGGATATCGGGCCTAGATGGGAAGAGGTCCAAAATGGAGACTGGGGTATCATGCCTATTCTCAACCACGCGTCATTCTTCATCAATGGCACCGACTTTTGGGGGCATGGTGACTGGGACATGCTCCAAGTGGGCAATGGCGAGCTGACCTTCCAGGAGAGCCGTACACACTTCGCAATGTGGGCTGCCCTGAAGTCGCCTCTTATCATTGGAACACCTCTTCACAATATCAAGCCAGAGATATTGGAAATTCTCAGCAACAAAGAGCTCATTGATTTCAACCAGGATCCATTCGTGGGACCCGCCGCTAAGCCATACAAGTGGGGCGTAAACCCGGACTTTACATGGAATCGGACTCACCCCGCTGAGTATTGGAGCGGGCTATCATCCAAGGGCGTGCACGTGTTTGTCATGAACACGTTGAACACAGTAAAAACCAAGATCATCGACTTTTCGGAGGTTCCAGAGCTTGATCCTGATGTTGCATACACAATCATTGACTCCTGGACCGGGAAAAGACTAGGGAAGTTTAAAGGAAAATATAAGACGACCGTCGATGCTCACGACACCCTAGCGATCCGGTTGGTCAAGGCAAGTCGTTTTGACTATTCGAGATTGCAGACCACATTTTGAGAAATTTCCTCGTCTCAGCAGTGAAGGAGGTGCTGGATTCTGTATGTGTCAGGCCTCTATCGAACAATTGACTATCAAGAGTAAAGACAAGATCGGCTCCTGTGGGGTGCAGATCTAGCGCTGGCGGGACATGTTGTTGTGACGTCAATCTCTCCAATTACCCCAACCTCTTCAAGTAGATCATTGACTCGAGATACTTCCACTTGAACAATTGCCATCTCAATGAAAAAGAAAACGTAATATCAGGTACATGACGGCAATGAGCGGTTGTTTGATCCAATGATGGGTGTTCCAGTGGGAGCTAATCTACCAGAAAGCCACAATCAACCTCACCGAAATCGCAATCACAAACGGCGAAAACGTTACATGATTACATACCTCAAGAATAAAGAGAAATGAAATCAGGCATAGGTGGCGCTCATGCGAACCCGGCTGTTGGGTCTATGCTGGT